GCAGTTAATATGCCATTGGCCAATTTAGTAAACAACTTTAAAGATGTCGTTGTTGCCCTTATTAAAGTTGACATTTTTTTTTCTTGTGATAGCAAGTAAAATGAGTTTTTATTTTCTTCGTTTTTATATTTAATACATGTTGCCCGCGACTTCGCCTAAGCAATATTAAGATAAAAAGATAGCTATAATATGCCCGTCTATGTCAGCTACTCTTGAGTGAAAGTCCAGTCGAAATCGGCCCAGCTTTTTCGGGGATTACCTGGAACAAATGCAACTTGCGGACTGACAGACAGACAAAAAAAGTTAAATGCTATTTTCGTTATCATATAAATACATCATCCTACCGAAATCTAGAATATTTATTTTGATATTACAAACAGACACATCAATTTTATTATATGTATAGTTAGATGAATTACGAAAAGCTAATTTTATATTCTAATGTTTACGTTTTACAACCCAAGATTAAAACAAACACTTAAATTTGCCTGAATTGATTGTGTGCGGCGAGTGTCGGTCACGCCAAGGGTGATGTCGTAAAAAAAAGAATAAAAACACTAGGTGACAACAGATTTATTTTAAAGCATAAGTGTTAACATTGATGTCAACAATGTAATAAATTTAATGCAACTTTATACCTGGAATTTAAAAAAATATTTAAAAATGTTACTACTTGGATAACAAAAACGAGTTAGTAAAAGTAAGAAAAACTCGTGAGACACTCAACTATAAAAGTATTGAAATTTGACCTTTGTTGTTTGAGTTTAAAACTGACTAGATTGGGAAAAGCAAACAGGAACATACGATATGCTGTCGCATTGTTTTTCATCGCGTTGATTCCTAGAAACTATAAGACATTACAAGCATCTAAACTTTAGATGTCTCTATAACAAGTCTTAAATTAAAACAATTGAATGTCTTACTCCGTAATCTATACTGATATAATAAAGGGTAAACACACAATACTCCGTGGCTTAGGATGTCAGCAATCACAACATAGTTTTGAATAAATTTATCTTTAATAAAAAACCCTACACTTACGATACGCTTTAGGCTCTATAACTTCACGCTATTAACTTAAGGTAAATAAATTGAAAAAAAACCTTCATGTGGGAAAGAGACCATAAACTACAAGCTGCTAACATTAAGAAAATAAGGTTATTGTGTTAATCGCAATTAAGAATTTGTCAAATGTAAACCATAATATAAAGTTTTATGATTTCATACGGATGAGGCCGCATGGTTTTAAATTGTAAGGATATTTTTGGAATCAATTGTACATTGTCAGTTATTATAGCAGCGTGACTCAGTAATAATGCATTGTGCTGCTCGATATAGAACTACTTAAGGTTTATTTCAGTCCAGCATCACCGGTATCAGAATGCTGCGTCATCCGGCTCTTATAAAACAACCGTGCGAAACGTAGGCGGCGTTACGATCAACAGACGTAGTTTAAACTAGCATCTACATGTTAAAATACAGACTGTGTTGTTAATAATTTCTCTGGTGTTTACTTAGACGTATCTAATAACGTCCTGTATAATGTGACACTTAAAATGTGTAGTAATTACGCTACAGGTGCTGGGAAAAAAATATAGTAGAACGTCGATAACTGAAAGTCCAAGGGAAACACAAAATATTTTAAGTTATAGAGGTTTTAAGTTATCAAGGGTCTATGACGCAGATTTTTTGGGCTCTGTTGGGAAGGGAACATATAATTTTTTGAAGTTATAGAGGTTTTTAAGTTAGCGAGGTTCTACTGTAGTTATGATTTTGATATTCTGTTAGAAACTCTAAAAACATAAAGTATATACAATACTATTTACTTGTAGGCTTACTCTATGCCCATGGCGAACACCGAGCACTGGTAGGGCGGCCATTTTGTGAATCGAGTCAGTTCCATTTGAGTCGCGACGGAATGCGCGCGCGACCATGTGTTCGGTGTTCGCCATGGGCATAGAGTAAGCCTACATACTTATAATGCATGAATCTATCTCTCTGTAGCAAGAACAAACAAAACATTGTTTCATTTCTCTTTATTTTTATTACCATTTCGTGAAAATATTTTTCTGTATAAATAATAATTACACAAACAAGCATCCTATATATTAAAGTAGCACAGTACATCAAAAGTTTAAATAGACGAGGAACTGCATTGTTCGCATTCCTTGTTGTCATAATTACGTGTATCTTTCATGTTTACAAATGTGCAACAAACGACTCTATAGATTTATTATTCCGCTTTTAAAGCCCTTGATATTCTACTGCCGCAAAATCTTTACCAAAACATTGCTATCTCAGTTTTTTAAAGGAAAGTGAGAAGGACAATAGAATGCAGATTCCAGTTTTGAATTTTCTTACATTTCAAACATACTGTGTACACACCATTTATTTATTTTGGATATTTATTTTAATGGACCAGTAGAATGTTTTTATAAATTAAAAATCTGGCTACAAAATGAATACTGGCAGCTTATCAATTGTAAAAAAAATTGCTCAATCTCATACAGTGCGTTGAATCAGTACGTGGGCTTTATGTTTATATTATATTGTTTTAGTTGGCTGTTAAAAGAGTAATTCCGTCATTAGCACGTATTTAGCTAACATCAAGCAGTCAGTGTCGTTATAACATACGTACACATTTAGATTAGCCACTTCGTCACATGATTGAAGTCTCATTAGATGATGTTTACATTCGCCCCTTTGATTTTTTCATGTTGATTAATATCAAGTAACAATAACGTGCCAATAGCCTGTTGATCACGACTTCGTCCCCGTTTAATAAAAAAAAATAAAAAAAAACACAGGCTATGAAGTAGTTTTAATGGTGAAAGAATTTTTTAAATCGGCCCAGTAGTTTTTGAGTTATTTATATATACAATATACAAATCTTTTATTTTAATAATAATAGTATAGAAGTATAGATAGGCTACCTCTACCTATCAAGAATGTATTATCTTGAAAAATTAGATTAGCTTCTGCTAATATGTCTAAAAATTACACTTCCTACCTGATAGACGATATGTAAAATTTTTGTTTATTTACTGTTTGTTTTAATTTAATTTCAACCTTATATCGTATATTTAAACTTTAAATGTCGATATAGTCCAGTCATGCTTAACACACCACGTGATGTAAATAAAAAAAATAATCATTCATTCACTCACGTGTGTGTAGTCTCCCTAAGATGACGTAGAGCGCCTACGAGTGAGCGTAGAAAAAACATTGGCAGAAACAAGCGGTACAAAAATAGTGCATGTTTGCGCGAAAAATATCGCAATGCGTAAGTTCATTCATGTTTCCATAGTCTTGCGTTAAAATTATATATGCCATTGTAATGCAAAGAGCACATTAAAAAAATAAGGGCATCATATATTTGTATGACGAAAATAGTTCCTCTATTTTATTGCATAAATGAAACCTTAACCCTAAAAAACTTTAGCGTTTTAATTTGTTTCATTGTAAGTTGCCTATTGCGTATTTATCATAGCACTAGCTGTTCCCGTGCGTATTCATCCGCATGAAATTATGAAAATTTTATTTTATTGTTTACATTTGTCAAATTATCAATAGCAAATGTCATATTGACATGACTTGACAAACCTTGGCAATCTTGCTTCCTTGATGTTGGCAGCAACTCATGGTCTCTTTCCCACATTAGGGTTTTTATCCATAATATTTACTTAGTTTAAAGTTTAATGGCGTGAAAATATAGCCTTAAGCGTGACGTAAGTGTAGGTCTTTTTATTAATTAAAGTATTTTTAAAAAATATGCTGTAATTGCTGACATCTTAGGCAACAAAGAAGTGTGTGTTTACGCTTTATTATAATAGTGTAGATGATAATTGTATCCATGAGCTATTTATTTTGTTGTTGTTGTAAAATTTGATTTTCATCGTAAAACAGTTTCTAAACACGTATAATTTCGTATCGTACAACAATGCACAAATTCTCAAAGCTGAATTCCCTCACTGATGACGTGCGACTTTTATTTCCACCCTCGAAAACACGTCGTTAACGCAAATAAAGCGGCCTACATGAATGGAATTTACATCAGGAGTGACTGTAATTACGTAGGTCACATTCGTGAGGCAATAACCATAACTCTGCGTGTTTATCAAACAATTTCGTATTGAGGCCGGGACCTTATTCGCTACTGACGAATGAGACGCGATGAGATCAAACTTTCTGATAAACAAACTGACGTTACTGGGAACTGTAGTTTCCAGTTTTACCGTTTCCACCATTCTTGAAAGACGCATGTTTTTCTGATAGAAAGACTTGCGGTTTATTCTTCTTAAACACTTGGTAATAAAATCTTAGTAATACTTCTCACAGACCTTGACTAAATTAAATGTAACAATAAGGTCTTTGTATCGTAGCTCTCTACGCCGTAGCACCTATATTTAGTACGATCCCACGGGAGTAATTTTTTTGTTAGTAAAGATATAACGTAGAATTTAAAAATCTTGCTGATGTTAACTGGTTGGTTAGTGTAGATATTATTATAAAAGATAAAAATATGCCAAGGAACTTTTTGACCGACTTCCCAAAAGAAAGAGGTACTCAATTCGTCTGTATACTTTTTTATGTGTGTTACGGCATAACTCCGCCGCTATTTTCTTATCCGAAAGGTTATTTCTGATATAAAAGTTGAGAATCAACTATTTTGTTGCTTTCAAAGTTAATTAAACGATTTCTATTAAAACTAACGTGTGATATATAAAAGAAAAGTATTTCTGTTTAATTTATTAGATGTAATTATTAAACAAATTAAGGATAAAAATAAAAAAACAGTAGTAAGTGAATTCAAAAATTTAATTAACAAAGAAAATTAATCGTAAAATGTCATTCCTAACAATCGAAGAGAAACGCTAATGAAACTGTAAACAAAATAACACTCCGGTTACCAAAATAATCATGGAATGCCGGATATCACAGACGCTTCGGACCGGGACCACAGGTGGCAGATTCCAGACTTCAGTACGAGTTGACACTCCGCGAGGAACGGACGTATCGAGAGAACGTTGAATTTGTCTCGATCTAAACTTCGCGTTTTACATGTTCGAAGTAGTTTGTGCAGTGAATTTTAAACGAAAGTTTTTAAAGTAAAAATAATTCGTTAAAAATGAAAGTCTTGACGGTAGACGATAAAACTGTTGTCGAAGACAGAGAGCCCACTGTCGAGATTGATAACAAACTTACTAAAGAGGAATTAAATAGGTAAATGAAATATCTTTTTTTTATTCAAAATTAATTAAAAACGCAGAAAATTTAGCTTGATAATTTAGAAAAATTATGAATTTTTAATGTCAACTCTAAAATTATAGAAATCAATTAAGTTAAATTAAAAATTAAATCAAATACAACCTAAGCTGTACGCTAATTCGGGCTTTTATATTTGCAATAAAAAAAAAGATTTTACTAAGATATAACAAGCACATATTTTTTTATTTGTAATCATAAAAATACGTAATGATCGGTTTAAAAAGTAATTTATAATAAGTTCTAATTTGTGTGATAACTAACTGTGTGACACATTCAAGTTAAATTAAAAAAAAAAAACATATCGTCGAATTGAATACCTCCTTCTTTTGGGAAGTCGGTCAAAAATTAAAAAATAAGATGTTTCGTGGAATATTACGCTTTAATGAAATACATTTCTGATTCCTAACGAGACTTATCTCTAAACACAGATAAGTTTAATTATCTTTTATTAGAAAAGTTATTTGAAAGCGAAGTTCAAAAACCTTAACGTAATATATCAGTGTTAAACCAACGTAGTGTCATTAACTGTACATTTACCCGTCAAATGTTTATTTTGGTGACAAAGAATCATCTGGAGAAAGAACTACCAAATTTGTCTGGATTGTGAAAACAAAACGTATGAGAGCAAGTTCGCTAGGTCAGACTGCTGGACATGTGCCAGTGGTGACACAAGTGAGAAGAATGCGTTGTTTACGCGTCGCGTCGCTTCGTTCGCGCGCTTTTCACTTTTGGGCGGGAAAACGATGGAATGCTGTGACGCCATGTTTGTTTTGTCATAGACACGCGTCATGAAGATTTACTATTCGATAATATTTTCAAAACAAATAGGACTAGTTTACTCGTTTTTTGCGTGAGTGTAGTTGTATTTGTACATCGTTTAAATAACTTATTTTGTAAAATACGGTATTGTTTACTGTTTATAGTATTATCAATTACTTTTGTTTTTGACAATAATTTTATTGGTAGATTAATCTGGAATTTTATTCTTAAGGGTCTACCCTTAGTTTCTAATTAGATAAATTGTACAATTTGTAATGTAAACAATTATTGTCTTGTCACGGTCAATTTGTCAAAAATGGCCGACCTTGTAGCGTTCTAGACTTGACATTGACGTGAATTAATGATACAGAACACGCATCATTCTATTTCAGTGTTCCACAAAGGAATTTGACACAGATGTTGCCGTTGACTACATTTATTATGACTGAAGCTTTGAATAACACAACTTTATTGAAAACTTAATTTAACAGATGTAGTAATTGAATATAATAATATCAAAATCATTAGTTCCTTTCTCTTACCACCCTTTTCTTATAAGGTTGGGAAGGGAAAGTGGATTTGACGGTGGAGGAGACGCATAAACACATCATTATGTGCGTCTCCTCCTCCTTTGATTAAGGGTAGGCAACGCATCTACAATTGCAAATGTCCTTCGGCAGCGGTTGCTTCACCATTTTAGCGGACTTAGGTGTCCGCTTACTCGAATAGTTGACTATAAATTGACACTAATTTTACATTATTTTGTTCAATAGAGGATGTCCTCTTGGCGTGTCCCGTGTGACGTGTGCGGTATACGTGTGCGGTGCGCACGCGCTGCCAGGCGGTGTGCGGGCGCTCCGCCCAGGGCTGGTTGTGAATGCTGCTCCCGAGCTGCCGCCGCCGCCAGACGACTGCGCCCCACGGTACTACGTACCGTTGCTGGACACACCCAACTCAGACATGCATCCATACATGGAGAGAGTCGCTGACCTTATTAACGATGTAAGTAACATTGATAAAAAATATAAACTGCTTTATGATGTTTTCATCGATTATACAGTTTTGTTTGAATAACACAACAAAGTTATTAAGAACAATCTCGTATACTGCAGTAATTTTTACTTTATTGTGGATTTGAAAGTGGACAAATAAACCAAATCATTTAGCTTTTTGTATCAAATAGGTACTTTGACCATTCGCAGAAGTAGTTTACTATTTATTATGAATTTATTGTTTTTTCATTATTAAATTTTTTTATTGTTGTCATAGGTGGTATCCCGGGGGGAGGTGGTACTGGTGCATTGCGTGGCGGGAGTGTCCCGGTCTGTCACCCTGTGTTTGGCCTACCTCGTCAAGTGGCAGCGGATGACGCTCAGAGACGCATATCACCACCTTAAACTGAGACGGTAAGCAATCTCAGCAGTAATTCATAACTAACGTCTTGTGCTCACTGGCTTAACAAGGCAAAGACATCTTTAACAAAGCCGTAAGGTCTAAGGCCATTTTTAAAATTAAAACGAAAGAATACAAGACTCTAATACTAGGTTTCTACTAACGTGTCTCTTCTATAAAAAAAAAACACAAAGACTAAAAAGTCATCTCTTTCAGACCACAAATCCGACCGAATACGGGTTTCTTCAAACAGCTGATAAAGTTCGAAGAACGGCTGTTCAGCGAAGCTTCTGTAAAGATGGTCTACTGCGAGGCTATCGACAAGGAGATCCCCGACGTCTACGAGCCGGATTACAGCGGTATGACATGGTTCAGGCAGCGGTACGGACCTATTGAAAGTAGTTGAGTATATTTAAGCTAACATTAGTATGCATATAAGCGTTTTTAAATGCAGCTTTTTGTATAAGGGCCTGTCCCACCAAGTTGCAAGTCTGATAACAATCCAACGTGTGAAATATGTGACAGTGACGTCATTTTAAAACTATCTGAGACTATCAGCCAGGTGTGGGACAGCCCTAAGTCAATTTACTATGGCGGACTCATACAAAAATGTTAACTATTTTCTTTTTTTTTGAAGATACTGAGATGTTTTTAATGAGTGTTGCCAGTGTAAACTCACAGTCGCACACAAATTGAGTAAACTATCACTCGCTGCTTGTTCAATTCTGGTTTTTAGGTTAACTAACTTCGAATGGGATTTAATTTCTGCTAATGAATGTACAAAGTAAGTTTCACAATTACCGTGAAAACACTTTCACTTATAAGATTGTTATAAAACTTTGAAAATAGTGTAAACAATTGAATGATTTTGATTTCTAAAGACTCATTTAATTATCATCATCACTAGCTCACCATACGTCCCCACCGAGGGGCTCGGAGCCTACCCTAATATGGGGTGACTAGGCCGTAGTCAACCACGCTGGCCAAGTGCGGGTTGGTTGACTTCACATATATCTTTGAATTTCTCCGCCGATATGTGCAGGTTGCATCACAATGTTTTCCTTCACCGTAAGAACGTCGGGTAAATTATGTACATATGAAAATTCGAAAAATCGCAAATCACATTGGTACATGGCGGGATTCGAACCCAAGACCTGTAGATTACAAGTCAAGTGATCAAACCACTGAGCCACCGACGCTCATTTAATACGCTTTATATAATAATTAAAGTTTTAATATAATATATCTGTTTAATTATGTTTTTTTAACTTTGCATTGGATAAAAATCGTCAAACAGAAATAAATGTATGAAAGATGTAAATTTGTTTGTGTTCTGATGTAAACAATGTCAAGTCAAAATGGTTTTTAATTAATAATATTCTAAAAGTTATTTTACAATATATTTGCCGAGTAAAAAAATGTCAATAAACAATTTTAAATAGTATACAAGCCATTTTAATTTGACTTGTTATTTCTTTACAAGACTGATGCATGAATGATTTAAGTATTGTTAAGTTTATTTTAAGTTTTATTTAAATTTAAGTAATCTTAATCTCTAACATTGTGAAGACATTTTGTAAAATTACAAAATACAACCAAATTTTTATGTTAGCAATTTAAAAAGAAAGTCATTTTACCAAAAGTATATAATTTCAAATGGACAAAAAATCAACACATTTAAGTGTAAGCTTAATCTGTAATAGCTTTATATGTTGACTAAGATTTTTTATTTTATTTATTGATAATTTACAGCTAACTTGGAAAAAAATAAAACATACAAAAAAGAGAAGGCCAATTACAAGTTATCGCAGTTATTTTATTATAAATGTAATAAAATATGAATAACATACTTGTATGACTTTAAAAATAAATAAATATATTGTGATATAATAAACTGTAACTTTAATTAGAAGTTGTGTTAAGTGATATATTTGTATATAAATGGGACCAAAATAAATAAATAAGGAATATTCCATGTTTGATTTTGAAAACCATACACTTATTTCACACACTGATACTTCGACAATAGACATTTCCCAAACATTATCAAATAACAAGATACTTCCTTTGTTTTAAGCATTAAATTCATCTAGATCGTCTCTTGTTTCTAACAAACTAGCTTACGCCCGAAACTCCATCCGCTTGAAATTAAAAAAAATAATGTAAAACATGGACTATGTTAGTGACAACGTAGCTTCTAATGGTGAAAGAACATTTGAAATCGGACCAGTAGTTTTTGAGTTATTTCATTACAATCAAACAAAATTTTCTTTAATATTAGATGAACTCCACACGAGAATATAATCAATAGTTAATTTCTTGCACCGTTTTGATCTCAATAAAGCTATAAATATGATTTACATGTTACCTAATTGCCGAAGCTATGTAATGACTAATGCTGTCGGAGTTGTTGGCCCCGTGGCATTGAGCGGTGCTACAAAAATAGATCCCCCCTACCCCCCACCTGTGTAGACTGCGCCTTAGTGATAGCCGGAGCGGGGGCGGAAACTGCAATACGGTTTATTTCGAAAAGGGGCTTGGCAATAGAAAGAAATTCAAAAGTGATGACTAGTCAGATGTGTTTAGTGATAAATTCTAATTATAGGTCTAAATTTTAATAGATATTGAATACGAGATCAGTCAGAATACAGAATCATTTGTGTAACAAACATTGGCTGAGTTCGATGTTGATCCATGATTAAATACAAGTTATTATTCTTCAAGTAACCTTTACCCATTTGAACCTAAAATTTACAGTTCGGAACTGGTCGATACACCTTGAAGTGTTAATTTCTTTTGAACATTGCTAGTGTAAAATTTCTCAATCGAAATGAAAGCAACTACATAGAATCTATACAAACTTCATGATAATAACTAACTTTAATATTGAATTTGAGTTTTAAGGTTCCATAATATTACTTAATAGCTATTAAATTTAATTACATGTTATCTCCTTTAAGACTGAAATAAATAAAATATATACCACGTAGTTATTTCAACCGTACAACATTGTAGCTCTACAGCGATAGAAGTGACAGCGACTGACAATGCGTCAGCTCTTCCTGGATGTGGCGACTAGAAATAGTTTCAGCTCACACTAAAATAACAAAGGAAACAACAAGCAAATCATTTCCTTAATGTAGTAGTATAAAAATATTTTAATTGAATAAACGATATTAAAATCATGAATGAAATTAAATTGACTAATGAAATTTATGACATGACATTATGAAAATGAAATCGACATGCATGTATTAGATGTTTGAATGAGGAACAGACGAGAGAGATGTTCCTGAAATGTCAATTTCAGACTTGTTCCTTGTTCACAAGGTCCTTTTTCTATTCAACTTACCCCTATCAAATTTATACTGGTGTAAAATTCCACAAAGCTGCATCTATTTATGGCAAGAGTAAATAGTGAATAAGACAAAGGTCTTTGTGCTGTCTATTCATGTTAATAAATGATGCGTCATAGAAAGTTTAGGACGTTTTAGACCAACTAAATATTTCACTTATGCGTATTTCTGTTACGAAATATTTTAAATGCTACTCTTCTATAATTGAAACAGCAACAGCAGTTTCAATTATTTCCGAGCAGCGTGAATCGGTACTTACTAAACTAACGCGTACCATCCTTCGACCACATCTTCACCTTGGTCTATGCGGGATAGTGGTTAAGCGCTGGTTTTGCAATTTAAAAAAAAATTGAAATACTACCTACTACTACTAATTTTCTTCTTCTCAAATTTTAAGTTATTTATGTTTTATCTCAAATAATGTTTGCCTTTTCTTTCTATTGAAAGTTGTCAGTCTTGGAATGAAATTATTAAAATGTTAACAACTATTCCGGTGGAATTATAAGAACGAATGCAAAACGCGGTAATGACGCAATAGTCTGACAATTTTAACAAAATTAAAGCCAACACTGATTGTTCTCACCTGACGGCTGAAGTAATATCCTAAATTTAGACTAATTGGTTTCCTGCCAGGACTCTGAGTACACAAATATGACTGACACGCAAATACATAGCTTCAATTTCATTTTAAACGAACAATGAGTTACATCGAAACACGAAAATCAACCTTTTGTCTTAGTTTTAAAGTTGATAATTGCTTGACATTTTTTCCCAGTCAACCTGTCAAATGTTTTGCCAAAACACCTGATGTTCAACGCGTGTTATTTTTTGGCAAAAACAACTGACAAGTTCAATGTTTTCGCTAATTACACCCGCACCTACGCAACTACTAGAGCACTTTACATTTTTACTTTTAATTAAAAATTTACTACGTAATGATATATGAAATAAAATAGCGGTAAAACACTATAAATAATAATTTTGTCATTTGACATAAGCTGGAAATCATCAGGACGTCTGTTTCGACTCAAAAGGACTATTTATTTAAAGTGGCCAGGTCTGAAGTCAGTTCTAAACAAACATTTCACTTGAATATATCGAGACGGACATGTTTAACAAATAAATACAGATAACAGTTATTCTCGTAATTTAATAACACTTATAATAATTTAAAGAATTAGTTATTTATAGTCAGAATACGTTTTGCTCATTTTCTATTACCATATAACTAAATTTTTAATAAAAAGAACAATATCTACTTCAACTATAAACCTGTAAATTTGCCATTCTACAATAAAATCGATTATAATTTCACCAATCAAAAAAATAAGTAACTCTATCAAGTAGTATACATTACTTAAAGACGATTGACTGTTTGTTTACCAATAAATCACTAGTTGTTTAACTAGTGTTGAACTAGGTCGTATTTGTAATAAAGAACGTAAAATATATCGTTAAAATCAATCAATCATCAGCGCAAACGCGTATATAAATACATTTTCTGGAGCAATCAACATTCCACGTTACATTCCTTCTATTTATATAATGTGATCTCTTAGTTGTATCATTCTGGATGTCTGAATGTCTGTCTCGAATGTTTTCCACTTCCAATATGACTGAATATTATTTATATTTCGTTTTATGCATTCCACATATTTTCTCCAGTTATTTTGATCGTGTTGACTTTTATAGTAGCTTTCGCCCGTGACTATGTCTGTGCCGAATTAAAACAAAAACAAGTAGCCAAATCTATGCCACATTTAATGAGATCCGTTTAGCAGTTTAGGCTACAAACTGACAAACATCCAACCATCTAAACTTTTGCAATTATAATGTTAGTAAGATTATCTCACAGACATTGATGTGTTTTTAAGCCCATAAGTACCCCTAAAATGAGTAAAATTAGTAAAATGAGTAATTTTAAATTATTACACACAAATAAAACGGAACAGCTTATAGTATAATCTTAAAAACATTGGAAATGTTAAACAAAAGTGATAACAAAATCTAAAACATTCCAGACATAAGACACAGCAAAGATACACTAACGACGAAACTTAAAATAACAAATCGTTGACGGACTGGAATGTTCGTAATTCCACATCAGTAGCGACCTTCTCATCATCCTAGTAAACTAAATCTGACAGTTTTAGAACAAGCTTGAACTAACTGTTACAAAAAGTGATACTCTCTTTCTTTTTTATCTGGTGCAGTAATTCACAGATTCATCCGGATGGACCTCAACGTCCTCGGAAGAATCAGCGAGGGTGAAAAGTAAAATTGAAGGTTCATAAAAGTAGCAGAATATGCTTGCATATTTCCTAAACGCCGTTGGAAAGTAAGCCGGATGGTAGAGCGCGTGGTAGGCCGAAGCTTAGATGGCTAGATGACGTCAGACATGATCTTAAGAATATTGGCTTCAGTGGCTGGAAGCAAAAGGTCCAAAATAGATTAACATAGAGAAATTTACTGGACCAAGCTCACCCGAGACTGTAGTGCCTCAGATGATGACGATAATGAGAAGAAGAAATAAATGCAAAATTATTTTAGCCGCATTTCTTCATGGAGTTAAAACCAGTACAGTTTAAAAGGGATCAAGAAATAAGGTTGGGAATCTCTGGTCTGATGTTTAGAGTGTTAACGCATTTCTGTCCAAAGTAATTAAAATAAATTTTGGATCTTAGGTATTGATTTGTCTTCACTGCTGTCAGAAGCAATGGTATGTCATGTATACGTTGAAAGGTACTCTAGTTGAGCACTGAGATCCAGGTATGTTGGCACACTGCCAAACAATGACACAGAGAGTATATTAATGTGGGTTTACATTGCCGAAACCCTTGTATAAAACATACTACTATTCCCTTTTATTCTTCTTTAAAAACTGAGACAGCAATATGTTTTCGTACGTGTTTAAAGCAGTGTAAATTCACGGTTATACATCACAAACGCTATATCGAAACTAAAACGTTTTGTTTGATATATAGGAATGTGGAGGTGGAATATATTTATACTAACCACAAGCAAATGGTTTGTTTTGTGTTACAACTATAGCTATGGTATTTGTTTTAACAAACGCTTCCCATTCTTACAGTCATAGGTCAATAACCGCATATTTGCTGAGTTTAAGCTACGACGCAATTATTGCGATTTAATTGGTTGAATGGTTGATATTGAGATAATTGTAAATAGTTTACACAATTACAAACGCTGTAGTTGCACTTCACTGTGTTTGTCATGAGCGATGCTAGCCCATAATCTAGGTATACATGACTAACTGGTGCCCTCAGTTTAAAGCCGTCGTTTGCTCCAAAACGTTTATTCATACCTCAAGTGGACTTGCACCAATCGTCTAAGTAATTAATACGCTCTTAAAAAACCCTTGGAGACAAATTAAAAGATCAAGTCAGTAGTGTGAAGAAGAACATTGCGCAATAACAGAACAGACGAAAAACCAACCAAGTCGCTGTTGAATTTTATGTTTAGTTGTAACGAATTCCAGCGACAGAAGTACAACAAAAATACCGCAAAACATGTCGAGTTGCGCAATGTCGCGTATTTTAGTTGTACAAATAAATAGACAAAAAGTTTATAGTCGCATTCCGGTGGCGGGCGAGGGCGACCCACTTCGCTCACGGCAGGTATGCGACGACGAGCGGCAGCGCCGACTGCCGCGCATACCAACAACCACAGACTAAATAAGAAATTGTATTACCACAGATGACACAAACAACAAACGATTGGGAAAAGATTAACTGTCATAGCTGTTAATTATAGATTTGTTAAGAATAACCTACTCTAAAGAGAAGTTTAAGTAGCTATTAAACTCTGAGTGCGGTAGTAAAAAGGCAAACAAAATTGCAAGATCTGTAAGTTTAGATTTGACTATATTATCATAATTGTAGTTTCAAGATTAAGAAAAGAAGAGTATCTTCTATCTCTAATTACTACTTAGAGTTGCAGGCGTGAAAATTTGTATTGAAAGTTTTAAAATCTGTATTTACTTTCAACCATTCGAATTGTCTCAATTATTCTCAGCCACAAATTTGGCTAGCGGTATAGTTACATACTTTACATATTTTTCAGTTCAATTTACGTGATTGTCTCGTTGTCAAAGCGTCGCAGGCAAACACGTGACATGTCACGTTTTATTTTAATTAAGTTCACGTGCTGCTAGACACGTAAATTAGACAATTAGAAGACAAGACATTCCGATTAACATGAATGTAAAAAAAATGTAGAAAAAAATAGCAAAATTGATTGAAAGGAGATTTATTTACATTTAATAATACATTTGGAGTATAAAAAAAAATGAAAAAATATTTATTTTCAGAAAAATTATCACAAACATAACCTAATTTACATTTTTTTTTTACACACTAAACATAAACTAAAATAAACAAAAAACAGTAAAGTACGTAAATAAGTATGTAAGCAAATCTGTAGGCTAGTAGTATAGTAGTACAAGCATGAAAGTGTTTTTTACAACGATAATTAATTAAACTCCAAAATAAACTTTTAAACGTTTACGAGCACGTATGTATGTATCTACAAGTAACGATTGGTCAGTCAAAGAGTGATTTTCTTGTTTTCATTGGCGTGTAAAAGCATCAGTTGGATGCAGGCGCCAATCTTCGTAAACATTTATGACAAATGCATCGTAACGTCGGAATAATGTTGACGTTAATGATCTCTCTGGAATTACGAAGTCATTCCGAGGGCGCTGTTTGTTTTCAACAAGGGGAAATCCTTTTATTTTCACGTCATTCTATGTATATGAAATTTTCCTTACATCTATACTATTACAGTAAAGCGTAAACACACACTTCTTTGTTGCCTAAGTTGTCAGCAGTTACAGCATATTTTTGAATAATTCCTTTTTTTAATAAAAAGCGTCACACACTTGCGTTATGCTTTAGGCTATATATTTTAACACCATTAAACTTGGGGGTAAATATTTTGGATAAAAACCCTAATGTGGGAAAGCGACCATAACTTTCTGCCAACATCAAGGAAACAAGGTTGTCATCATGTCATGTCATTTTGACATTTGTAATTGATAATTTGACAAATGTAATCAATAAAATATTTTTTTATAACTTTATGCGGATGAAGTCGCACGGGAACAGCTACTTTTTTAATAAACATTGTTCTCGAAATGTCAGTTGTCATCCACAATTATTATAAAGAAAGACCTTGGTAAATTATTATCCACATCACCTTGGTAAGAACGCTCACATATTTATTGCACAGATATAATTTTGTAAGACCGCGTATAATTCGAGAACAAAACGTATTAATATACAAAGTGGTCATAACTCAGGTGTCGCTGACTTCCGCCGCCTCTCCTTGAGATTGTTAAATCTTAAGGGTCATTACGGACGTGAGAATGTCATTATACGATATATTTTTTTAAGTAGAAGCTTAACAATCAAATTTCACGAGATTTTCAGATAAGTTATCTGTACAGAAAAAATAATAAATACATTCTCAAAATAAACATATTAAGTTTTTTATTCTCTTTTATTAATTGCTGTCTTAATTCTGGTGGGTGAAAAATATTTTACATTTATTTCTTGGTTCAATATTTTGCTACGCTAAAATTTCCACAGTACCATGTGTAGGCAGCCTAGCAAAGGTGATTATAAAGACCCCGTTGGCGACAGAATCGCATTTCCACACATTTATTTTTAAGTTCTCTTAAATTTCTATTTGAAAATTTGTTTTATTTTCTTTGAAAGTTATCATTTACGACCCTGATACCAGGAAGTCGTTTAATTACTGCCACCACTTACTAATAACAGTAAATGACTATTAATCTTATTGTATTTAATGACTTTTAGTGAATTGTTCTTAAATAACTTTTCTAAGATCAAAAGAAGAAATATGTTAACCATTCAGGTAGCGATGTTTCGAACTCTTATGAAATTAACACTAATATAAAACAGAGATTTTTCTTATTTATCAGATATATTTTAATTTTTCAAACAGCAATACGCGCCAAGCCATTAGCATCAGCTGTTAAAGCTTTTCAAATATATTTGAATTTTTTTACGGTCACTCACCTTGTTAAGTGGCCATTAACCGATATTTATACACTTTTATATGAGAAGAAAGATGTATATGTATGTGTGATGATGTGGCTTATTTTACTCTTAAAAACGATCACCTGACATTGCCGATTGTTAATGTAATTTTTAAGGTATTATTTTACGTACCGCGCCTGACTCGGTTATACATGTTTTCGTATAAAAGGTTTGCTACTTAAATACTTTCAGGCGCATTATTTAGTCTTGAAGCAGAATTTACCACACCTAAGTCTCGCATTTTAAATTAATTATAATCTCAAGTACGAGCAAAAAAAGTTTTAATCCGATAACTTTACAGAATCGCCCACGAAACATTACGTTGAGAAATATTGTGTTTCATCTTTACATTATCAATATTAAATTCAATTATAACGATAAGTCATCGCTACTTTGATTAAACGACAAATAAAAATTGTTAACATAATATATACACTATACTTTCAGAACATCGTCCGCATGACATTTAAAAAAAAAAACAAAAGTAAGTAGCCTATGTATTGTTCAGACTTTCCTCTACATCTATGCCAAGTTTAATCAGGATTCACTTTCTTTTACAATGACCACTTCAAAAAAAACATGAAAACGGCGCATTAGGTATAGCCATAATCCTTAACAAAATAAATGTGTTCGTTATCAGATAAATTTGAATTAGATTAATTAACACAAAAAACATAATAGGTTATATTTAGGACATTGCGATCATTGAAAAATCAGATCTCAGGTCGAGCACGGTTCCTATAAATTAACAACACTTACAATACAATACTAGTACATAAAGACTCTAACATAACATTTGCTTAAAGTTGTGTAGGTTATAACTGTGTAGTGCTAACCAATTGGCGACGAGTATTACTAAACCGCAACTGCCGCTTAAGGATCGTATTACATTTGACTAGTTGTAAAACTGAACTCGCGCGGGCAACATGTTTCCCTTGTTAATAATAATTTTTATTGTTGTTGTTTACATCTACACCACGAGAAACTACAACTATTGGTCAAAGAGGAACATAAAACATGATCCGCCAATACCCTTGTTCGGAAACCATTTCAGAAACGTATTCGGCGTCAAAAGCATTACGGAACTTTCTACTGAATTATATACAAAATATGATAAAGAGAAAGTCGTCGGTTACTACTGTGGATCCACACCCCTTCTGATCGTGAGAGATTTGGACATAGCCAGGAATATAATGACGATGGACTTCGTCTATTTCTACCCGAGGGGTCTCGGCAGAGATCCCAAGTACGAGCCGCTGCTCAACAATCTATTTCACAGCGACGGCGACACCTGGAAGCTCCTGCGACAGAGGTTAACGCCGGCTTTCACCACTGCTAAGTTAAAGAAGATGTTTCCCCTCGTGGTGAAGTGCGCAGAGAAAATGCAGACGGTTGCGGATGGCATAGCGGCTCGGGGCGGGGAGTGCGATGTGCGGGAACTGATGGCGCGCTTTACTACAGAGTTCATTGGCGCCTGCGGCTTTGGAATCGAAATGGACACTATCAACACCGAGCACTCCCTGTTCAGGGAACTCGGCAAGAAGATCTTTACACGGTCTTGGAGACACATTCTTCTGGTTGCTGTATGGGACGTGGTTCCGGAGTTGAGGAGGTTGCTTCGCGTTGAAGACCACACTGTAGAAAACAATCTTACTGAGATTGTACAGAAGGTTCGAGAGCACAGGAACTATAAGCCGTCCGAGAGAAATGATTTCATCGATCTGCTGCTCGAATTAGAATCTAAGGGTAAAATAATCGGAGAATCGATCGAAAAATCTAATCCAGATGGAAGCCCGGTACTAGTTGATATGGAGATGGACATAAAATGTATAGTAGCTCAGGTGTTTGTATTCTTCGCTGCGGGCTTCGAGACCTCCTCGTCGGCGACCAGCTACTGTCTGCACGAACTCGCATTCCATCCGAAAATTCAAGAGAAAGTGCAATTGGAGATCGATGAAAAGTTGAAACAGTACGATAACAAATTATGTTATGACGCTATCGCTGAGATGTCCTACCTCCATATGGCGTTTAAAGAATCTCTGAGAAAATTTCCCTCGCTGGGAGTCTTAAACAGAACGTGCGCGCGGCGATACAAAATACCAGAGTTAGATATCACAATAGACCCCGGAGTGAAGATAGTGATACCGATACAGGCAATACAAATGGATGAAAAGTACTTCGATAATCCAAATGAGTTTCGTCCGGAGAGATTTTCCCCGGAAGAGGAGAAGAAACTCAATCAATATATGTATTCGCCATTCGGTCGCGGACCTCGGGCTTGTATTGGTGAGTTATTTATTACTTAACCGGTTGCAAGGGACATTGGACTTTGATCGTAAGGCCATTGCAATCACCTTCATTCTACACAAACAACTTAAACCTCATTTAAGACAAAAGTAGATCATTTAAGGCTAGTTCGCACTGCATTTAATATAATATAAAATACATATGATACAAAGGTGCTCTCCTTAAAAATTTCCAAAATTATTTCGCATTAAAGTGACTGACTAATGTATCAATCTATTGAATTCTAGAATGAAAATAACAATCAGGACTGTTAGATTAATCTATGATAACAATAACCAAGTTTATACTTTGTGCAGGTACTTATATAAAATAGGGCCGATTGCAAAACAATGAAGATAAAGTTGAATTGCGTAGATAGAACACAAATAAATTTTCTCTCGAGTACAATGAATACAGCAAACATTGTAAAGTCACTGGGTTCAAAGTCCAAATAAGATTAAATTATACACCGAAACGCGTTTACAAACTTATTTCTGTCTCTTTTTATTAAAAGGGAATGAAAATGATGACAATATTTCGCCTTCTTTTAGCTTTTTATGTACTGAATGTTTTTGTCAAACCAAATTGCAATAAAGTAAAAACAAAAGATGGAAAAGGCGTGTATAGTACAGGCATTTGTGTTTAGTATAGGTTTTTTTAACAATAACTACAAAAGAAGCAGATTATTAAAAATTTAAAGGGAAAAACATTATAATGCCTAGAGAAACTTTCATACATTTTCATCCAACATTATCCCACAGGAACTCGTCTCGGTGAGATGCAATCGCTCGCGGGTCTAGCGGCTTTGCTGCACAAGTTCACAGTAGAACCTTCCCAGCACACACAAAGGGATCTCAAGGTCAACCACTGGAGTAACATTGTACAAGGAGTAATCGGCGGCATACCACTGAAGCTTACACCGAGAAAGATATTGAATATGGAATAAAATATATTACAGGACACGGAATATTGCTAATAATTTACATCGCCTATTTGTAATTCCCGGAACATCTTAAAGACTGTAAAGATTAATTCGATTTGTATGCAATTTGCCGAGTATTCCCCTTTTGTCCAGGCAAATTACAAACGGGCGGGGTCAATAATTTGCCGCTGAGAGATAACAGAAATACCGCATATCAGAATATGTAGAGAGCTAATAAAATTATATATCAACTATGCTTTATGGTGCAATGAATATTTAAGATAATTATGTAAACAACATAACTTTATACATTTGCCTAAATGTTTAGATTTAGATCTATGATACATGAAGTCATCAAAACAAGATTTAACAAGACGGCGTCAATACTTAAATATTATTTTATAATTTTTAGAAATTAAATACTGATCCAAAAGTATTTTTTGCATTCCTTTATTTAATTGTAAACTTTAAAACAACAAGTGTTTCATTTTTTAGTTACCTAATTAGTAATTTAGTAATTAATATTACTGTTTAACTACTAACTTATATAAAATTTTGTTTAAAACATGATAAACATGTAAACATGTTTTAATCTATGTCTTTAATTTAATTTCTAATCTTTTAATCTATGACAAATAAAGATCATTTTTACAAGCTGTCAATTTTATTATTTTGTTTCAATTTTGAGTTATAAACATGTATAAAATATTTTGAGATTTAAACTAATTATTTACCAATTTTTAATTGATTTGCTATGTCTTTTCATTATGTAAGGATTTACTATGGACCTTATGATGCATTCCACACGGTCTCTCATAAGCCGCAAAAACTGAGAGGCCTCAGAGGTTTGTAAGAAGTTATACCTAATTTACAATATCCTCAGGAAGACGCCAATTTCAATAAATATGTAAACTAATCGATTGCGATTTACGATAGACGTTTATTATTATAACATGGGTTATAATAATGGAGGTTTCCAGATCACCTTCACAAACTTGGCTACCGCGTGGATCTTGTCCCAGTTGATTTCGTAAACTACTGCATGCTGGAGATGTGCGGACATGAGGTATTAACCTAAAGACTACCCCTCATCATAGTACTAACAATAAAATGATATTTTTGTTCTATTATAAAGTATCTTAGGTTTCAAGATTTGAAAGATCACTAGCTCTTTTCGAATCCGTAATCCCAAAAGTCTGTTTCTCATATTTCTTTTAAAGTTTAGATGGATGGATGTTTGTTAGAGATTGTAGCCTAAACGGCTGAACGGATTTCGAGGAAATTTAGTATAGCTGTAGAGGATAGGCCGGAAGAACACATAGGCTACTTTTGTTTGTTTTTTTTTAATTCCTCGCGGGCGGAGTCGCGGGCAATAGGTAGTCGGTATAAAATAACTCAACATGTATCTCAGGTGTTTAGATGCAATATCCAGAACCTTCTATTCAACACTCCAGGGGAACTAGACCCGGTATGTATGCGGGCTGTAGACGCGGTGGTCGATGCCTCAGCCAAGTTCCTTCGCGCTAGAAACTACCTATGGTTCTGGTCACTTATAGACAACCAGCTGTTTAGAAGGAGCGAGTTCGCGCCGAAAGACCATTGGCCGTTCGAAGTGGACAAAGACAGCTACGATACTTGTATGGAATGCACTTACTGTTGTGGTAGTTTGAAGAAAAAGAAGTGATTTGAAATTAAATGAGCTCGAACCAACGATAACGAGTTTTATGTCTTATTAATTAGTATTTATTAATTTACTACTTTTAAGCCGTTTTAGGCATTGTTACTTTATCGTTGTTTATATACATTCGATTTATTGTACTTTTAAATTGATAAGTTTTGTACGATAATGATAAATAAGAGACTCTGATAAAGTCTGTTGTTACTTTGTTCTCATAAAATCTTACTAATATAAAAAATACGAAAGTTTAGATGGTTAGATGTTAGAGGTAGCCTAAACTGCTGAACGGATCTCATTGAAATTTGGCATAGATGTATCACATAGTCAGAAAAAACACATGATACCTTTTGCCTTCATTTATTAAACGTGCGACAAGTGTCGTTAGTATACCAATAAAGCGAAGGAAGAAAATATGCATTAAATTACAAATACGAATACTGAGATTAATTTCAATCTTTCATACGTACACCTTTGTCTAAACTATAACAGAACTGTTGTCTCTCTTTGATTAAGTTTATACGGAGGTGTACACAGTTGAATTGGCTGCCAAATAATCAACGATAACACAACAGTTGTAGAATAGTTTAGTCAAAAGTGTGCGCCCGCTCTTAGAATGTAAATGTTGCGTTGATGGACCTGTCACAGTGATGACAAGCAAGATGTCACGTCTATTAGTCCATAATAAGTATTTAAGGTCCCTTCCGTTACCATCTACGTGCTTCGTATACTCGTTGCAACGCTATTTGGAATGTCTGTGCAATTAATATGCTGCAGAATAACGATGCATTAATGAGACAACGTATTAGGCGTCATAATTGAATCCGATATTTACCTACGCTTCCTTTTCAAAGTAAATTGTACTAGTTTTAACTCGCGATGTCAGCGTGGAATTAACAAAAAAAAAAAGAAATTATGGCCTATATTTTTTAGTTCTTTCAAATTATCCTCTACTTTGTCTTTGTATCAACGAGATCTATTTAGCAGTTTAGGCTACAAACTCTAACAAACATCCATCCATCTTAATAAACTTTTGCATTTATAATATTAGTAAGATCAGCATTTGTTTTTTGAAGGGTAAAAATCAGTGCAAAGCCACGTTTTTAACCGATTAATATTTAAGATTAAAACAAAAAAATACAACACAAATAACTTATTTTTCTAAATCGATATAATTGTGATATTGCAAAAAAAAAATTCGTATAACGTAACTTTATTTGCAACTCTAGCGGATATATCATTCTTATTTTTAAATGATTTGAAACTTTTTTCATGAAAAAAAATAAAAGAAACAATATTCTGATTTTGAATTGATTTATATTGAAACAAGTTACAAGGCTGGGTAGCAGGTTCAGTCCGTCGCCGTGAGACTGGAGCGAAAGAAAAACTCGCAAACACTACCCTTATAAACAACCCCTACAGTTAAATCATTTCATTAAACATTTCGATATTTTTCTTTTACTCCAAACTCTACAATTTCATAAAACTGGTTACTTTTAGACTTACAATTTTAAATCTGAGACCAGTCTACACACTAGCGATATTTAGTAACTTAATTTCTTATATAAAAAATTGATGTTCGATAGTGTACAACAAGCCTTACAAGCATGACGTAATAAACGGCTAATTACACAAACATTCCGATATATTTATATATTGAGTTTCACATATTCGTTAGCCGTATTTCGTCATGACATTTGTCGCATAACCTAAAATTATTCTGGAAGTTACAATATTCGTAAACGTGGTATAACTATTAAAAATTAATACATTACGCCAAGGTACAGAGAATACTTAATTTAACATTAAAAGCATGCATTTTAATTCTCCCTCTCTCAAAGGAATTTTGTATAATAAAATTTTGGTCAAACGCCACAATATAGCTACACCACTAAATCACAGCATACGTTATATTGCAAGTAATATATTACATAAAAAATATTTTGTAATGAAAAAACATCGAAGTATCGTTAAATATGAATTTTTCTGAACACATTTTGAAATAACCACGTTTACCACTTAAGCCAGATATTTTCTAAACGAATCAATTTGTTAAAAATATTGCTATCCTTATTTTTTAAAAGGAAACGAGTGTAATGACGATATATTTTTCCACATGTGTTTTGAAACTCATTGAAACCATTACACTAAAGACCATCATAAATAAATTTACAAACGAAACTATACGAAGATAAATACGTTTAAAAAACTAATATACACCTAATACCGAAATATAACAAATAATTTTATTGCATATATTAGTGATTTATTGTTTTCACGACACGACCCGGGATCAAGTATATAAAAATGCAAACTTTATAGAAGCTCGTAGGTGCGAGCGCATGAACACATTCCATTGCCTAAAAGCACCGATATAGATTTATAACCTATAGATATGTCATTTTGTATAACAAAATTGACTCAAAAAAAGTCCTTCAGAGTCCTTTTTGTCTCTTTCTATATACTGAGGTATAGATTATAAATCTATGCCACTGTGATCTGTGCAAAGTTCCGAGCCGCAATAAAGTTTGAATAGCATTATAACTGGCTATATAGTACTGGGAATTAATTTACAACTGTCTACCCAAATATAACATCTTTCGGATATTGTGCCTTACTATATTAAATACGGCAAGTATCTTACCACATATCATGAATTTAGTCCTACGAACTATTTTTAGTACAGTCGCTAAAAAAATAATAAATATCAATCTTATTTTCATATTATAACTGCAAACAACTGTACATGCTAGTTAATATTGTTATATTTTTTTAGCGACGACACATAAACTTGGATAATTTTCTATTTCCTGTTATTTTATAGTCTGTATAAATGTAGATATATAAAGCAGTTTATGTATATGTAAGAGTACTTATGTATTTTATGTAGATTACCAAAATTTGATTTGATTTTCTAAACGTGACCCCTACCATTTTCACATCTCACGATCGAATTAAATTTCGAGTTTATTCACGGTATTCGATATTTCAGACAGTTCCTAATTAATTCACTACTATCCATATTATTTGATTGCTTTTTACATTATTATTAATGAAAATTATTTTAATAATACCTTAAATTTCTCTCTCTATTCTCGATAACTATTTTTATTTTATAATTTACGATCGTTCAAAAACTCATTTTAAAATATAAAAGTACATTTTATTGTAAGTTGATTATCCGTATTTTAAATACAATATTTTTGGATAGCCTCATTTTAAAGTTATGCGAAATATTTTGAATTTTATAAATAAACTTGCAGAGTTGACAACTAATGTTTCCAATGAATCTATAGAAAATTATAAAACAATTAAAATTGCAACATTTTATTGATAACAAATGTGTTTGTATATATTAAAGCGATTCACAAGAAAGCTATATCTTAGCACAATAGCTATGTACAGCTGCATAAAAGTATATACATTTACAGCTTTACAAATAAACGCATAATAAAGTTAAAATTAGCAATAAACTAAGTATAAGCAAATATTAGTACAAATTGCCTATACTCAGTTTATTCCTAAATTTAACTTTATACCGCGTTTATTTGTAAGGTTGTATAGCTTCAAAAACTTGTATACAACATTAATTTCAAAATTGTATTTAATTATTCATTTATATACTTCCGATAATGAATATTAAAAAAACCGAAGTATACAAGCGTCTAAAGTTTCAATGTATACAAATGTATACAGCCGACTGGTTTACTGCGACACTTGTATTACGTCATACCAATGAGAGAAAGGGACGACAATATACGAGTGCGAGCAGTACGGGGCGGGGGCGAGGGCGAGGGCAGTGTCGCGTCATCACTACAGTATCACCAGTGTCCGTCAGATGGCGCTGTGAGAACTCACTCACTACTCACTCTCGGATCATTTCACTTGGTTCTTGACGTGCTGTAAGAACTCGTAGTAGGAGAATGCGGACTCCACGCGGTCGTCCACCAGCCGCTCTGTGAATATCTGCCGCATTGGTGATGTATCCCTGGAATTAAATATTCAGTTTGTATTATTATTTAAATTAAAGTAATCTGAGGTAAATTTGGCAAATGTTTGTTAATCTACCACGTACTAACATCCATATGCAATAATATAAATACATCTGTACGTAGATTACTACCTTAGAAGGTAAAATTTATTGTCAAGGACATTAATTCCTGACCCATATTCCAAATTTCATTTAATATTGCAATAATGCCGACATTCTTTAAATTTGTTATAGCATCTAGAGCTAAAGTGCTCTTAACGGTCACTTTGCTCTTACTATATTCAATTCTATATGGGTAACTAGCAGTTGCCCGTGACCCCGTATACGCAGAATTATCAAATATATAAATCAAAGTCGGTCTACCAGGGGCGGAGATATGCCGTAACACACATAAAAAAACATACAGACGAACGACAAATTGAGTACCTCCTTTTTTTGGGAAGTCGGTCAAAAAAGTAAGCACTATGTAAATAAATATGAGCCTATGTTTACCATCTGTGACAAATTTCATCGATATCGGTTTACCAGTCCTGGAAATACCTTCTTACATCCACCAATACATCTAAACTGTTCGTATCTATAGTGTTAGTATTATTGTGTGTTTACCTGAGTATGTGTACGCCGGAGGGGTAGGGCCGGTCATCATTCAGTTTGTCAATGAAGGCGTGCAGCAGCCTGCTGGCGGGCGTGTCCAGCCGCGGCAGGCTGCGCGCCTCCTCCGGCAGCTGCGCGTGCGCGCTCACGCCGAACGCCTCCGAGAGGAACGCGGGGCTCACGTTGCAGCACACGTATATCATTAGTGTGCTCCCGTCGTCTAGCAGGTACGCGCCGTCAGAGTTTATACTGAAATAATGTACATCACGACGAATAAGGCATGTTATTAATGTATCTTAATTGTAACAACATCTAGCTAAATTTAATCTTTTTTTTTATAACAGTGCCATCTTGCTAAATTTTAATTTTGTAACAACGCCATCTATCGGAATTGAATCATTTTATAACAACGCCATCTAGTTACACATCTGTAAACTAGTTTGAACTCACCGTTCCGCCGTAAGTTGCAGCCGGGGAGGATCAGGCGCATCGTCCTCCTCCTCGTCGTGTTCCTGGTCGCGATCCTGTTGATCGTTCTGATCTTGCTGGTCGTTTTGGTCGTTTCGCATGTGCAGATGCAGGTCGTGCACTGCGTACAGGTCGGGGTAGACCGCTCGCAGCAGCTGCCCCAGCGGCAACGTCTTCATGTCGCACATGTCCGCCACACGCTCGTCCAGACGTGTCGATGTGCCGGTACGGAACGCTTTCTACAGCACATACATGCAATCAATTATCCAATAAAAATAACATTAAAATGCTCATAGATTTGTTTAATTGAGGTGGGTAGATTTTATAAGGTTTCGATGTCGACTACTGTTTGTATAAGCTGTCAAATGATTCTTAACTCTATGATTATGTTAGTTAAAGTAAGTACACGCATATGCAATCTCTCCGAAATTTATGCCATAAACACGACAACCTACAATACAACATCCCAACATGGTCCTCCGAGCCGCATATAAACAAACGACTTACGGACGGCGTACAGCGTCAATTGACAGCGTGATCAAGAATGACTGTCAGATGCGTCAGTATTTACCCGCTTGAGTAGCGCGAGCAGGTAGAGCGGCAGCAGGCGCAGCGAGGCGGGCGCGTGCAGCGCGCTGGAGGCGGCGCCGGCGGGCAGGTTGCGCGCCAGCCGGTGCGCCGACAGCGCGTCCACCGCCACGTTCATCAGCGCCTCGCGCGCCTCGGACATTGACGCGGACGCGCAACGGTCCACAGCTATTAAACACAAAATTACATACTGATAAGAAAACCGATACAATTCCGGTGTAGCGACGCAAGACTGATAGGAAGATTGACGTTTACGTCCCTTCCCTATGGTATCTTATCAATACAGAAGGCCACCATTCCTGTTTGTAATCCGTAAACTTAGTATTATTTTTACAATTACATCGTCCAAAGGAAAGTAATTTGAATAGGTAAATTAATGACTAGTTATTGCTCGCGACTTAACATGTGCGGAATAAATAAAAAGCTTAGTATGTAGCCTATATGTTCTACATCTATACCAATTTTGATCTAGATTAGTTACGTTTTTTCGAAAATAACATCAATTCATACATAGAATAATAGTAAGATTCGATTTAATTGATTTCGGTAGTATTTAAGTCATATATTTGCCATGTTATTTGTGTGGATATAAAATAGAAAAAGCCAAATTACCCATTTTGCTGAGCAGTCCAATGATGCACTGCTGGTCTGCGGAGTGCAGCACGTCCGTCAGGTTGGTGGCGATGGGCAGCGCCAGCGTGTGCACGCGGATACGACGCTCGCCTGGAAAATAACATCATAATATTATTGTTAAGGTAAATTTCAGCGAAACAGATGTTTTTATACGTAATAAATCATATTTTAATCAGTAAAAAATACTAAGGTTCCTACAAGGCCCAGAAACACGTGGAAAAAACTTAAAAACTAAACATATTTCTTTAATTAAAACTTTCTTTGCAATAAGTTTTTCTACTAAACCCTCTCCCCTCTTCAATGATCATCAACCAGCCCCCCCTAGATCATTTAGAATTAGTCTAAATTTTCTTAAAAGCCTTCCTAAACTGAATCTATTTTCGCTTCTATATTTTTTTATCTCATTCATGACCAAATTTATATGAACGAATCTTATCATTATCTACTAGCATACACTCGCGACTCCGTCCATACAGAATTTAAAAAAAACTAAATAGCATATATTCCTTTAGACTATCCTCTACGTCTATGCCCAATTTCACCGAGATCTGTTCACCATTTTACATTACAAACTCTAACAAACATCTATCTAAACTGTCGCATTTGTCAAATAGAACAATCAAACAACCAGTGGAAGCGTACCTTTACTGCTAGTGTAAAGCAGCGCGGCCTGGAAGCAGACGTGCTGTAAGTCGGAGACTGACTCCTCTATAGTGAGCTGCATGCCGAAGCCCGCGTCCGGCGACACGTTGGGCAACGACAGCAGGTCCGTCGACCGCACGAAGAAGTTGCCGTGGAACGTGTGGATAGCTATACCCCTGGTAATTAACATTACACATTACACATTACACATTACCCACCAACTCGCATATAGTTTTAATTTCTGTTATTGTAAGATTTATTGTGTTCGCGAGGGCCTGGTGGTCCATTACACAAAGGCGCCAACCTGGTTCAGATACCAGTCCACAGCCCAAGGGGAAAATTAATAAAACTATTTTATTTTCATATCCCTGACAATACACATTTTATACAAATAAAGACAAATTAAATAATATTTGTATATACTACGCTAATTAAAAATATTTAAAAGCTGTCTATAAGACGAAAACATATACTAAATTGATAAAATATAAGAAAAAAAAGTAAAATCTATCTTTCTGTATAGTGAATACATACTTGGTGCAGCGTACTCGCATCACAGCCTCGAAGCCGATCTTCCGTGTGAGGTAGCGCGCGAGCATGCGCGCGAGCATGTCCGCCTGCCAGGCGCGCGCGCCGCGGAACAGCGGGATGTGGTACACCGTGCCCGCGCTGAACTTGCTCATACCGCCTGCACAAATAAAACAATTACAAGTTAAACAAGGGTAACGTTTAATTAAGTGCCACTAATCTAATTGTTAAAGTTACGGAATTCCGATCACGTGGACTAGGGTTCGAATCCCGCCATTCGACTATTGTCGTAAACCATTCCTAGCACAAGCCTAGAGCTTAGTTAAAAGAAACATCAGTGAATTATCAAAAATCTAATATTTTAATAAAAAGATAACAGATACTATTTCTTCAACAGTGAGTCCACATTCGCTCGTTTTTATAGCGCGCGATTGCGCAGCTTGCGGAAAGAAAGACAGACAAAAAAATTTAATGCGACCATTATTAACAAAAAATACATAATCTTTGCGAAATCTGATTTTTTCAATACTAAATACAGACACTCCAATTTTATTAATATGTAGATGAATTCAGCTAAGTGTATAGTGTTCAATGTACAATGCTCAGTATTCACTGTACAATGTCCAGTGTGTAGTGTCCAGTGTATAATATTCAGTATTCAGTGTACAGTGTATACTGTTCAGTGTTCCGCGTACAGTGTTCAGTGTTCAGTACTGACTGAGCGTGGCGAGGTCGCAGTACTGTGAGCTGAGCAGGAACAGGTCGACGGCGACCTGCGCGCCGCTGCAGTCCAGCGCCAGTCGCTTGTAGAAGTCGCTCGCTGGGTTCAAGTGAGCTACTTCTTTTGATGAACGACTGTTCGGGTCTTCCCTGAAATTAATAACCACTATGTTATGTACAATCGGGGAATTTGGTTGTATTTCTTAAAAGCTACAGTTGCTTGAATTTAAATGTATGTAACTTGTACGAGGCTTTTTATTATTATCTCGTAGTTTTCGCAACTCCGTCTTACGTCTAATTGTATAAGAAATAAGCCCTTTCTTGTTTTGTCTAATTTCAAGTAACAAGGAAATTATACGGTAAGTAGAAAACCGCAAAGTTTCGCGACTGTACAATTTAACACTGACAGAATAAGAACAGCAAGTTTTTTTAGCTTCACCATTGCCGTCAACACATGATAACTTATTAATAGCAGAAAAATATTAAATTTACCTTGATTGTAACGCTCCAGGTCCAATGTTAGGCAAACATGTTTGGAACACAGTTATGCGTCCTCCGGTCGGTGCCTGAAATAGTAAAAAAAAACACGATGTAGCGCGACAACATATAACATCCTTACGTCGTTCAGCGACGTTAAATTTCAAGGTAAAATTGGTGTGGTAAAATAAACAAGATAGCAGAATACGTAATTTCAACTCTCTCTTTGTAGTAACAAAAATATAAATTTATAAATAATTGTGTTTTTCCTCGCTATAGCGAATAATAATGAAATTTATTACTTCCCATACAAAAGTGCAACTTCCCCTTTTATATCGTCGTATGGCGACGCCTATGTCTTATGGCGACGCCCATATCGTCGCATGGCAATTACCAAAACGTTGTATGGCCACGCCCATATCTTCGTAAAGCGACGCCCATGTCGTATGGCGACGCCCAAATGGTCGTATACTTGCCATAAGTTTGTATGCGGCCTGCAGCGCGGCGCCGAGCGCGCAGCCGGGCACGCCGGGGACGGAGTACCTGCGCGGCAGCACGCTCAGCAGCTCGCACACCGTGTCGCGGCACTCGCCCAGGTTCACCAGCAGCGACTCCGGCGACGGCAGGAACACGTCTGCGTACGTACACCACTTATACTACTTCGGCTACCACACGAAAACCTCACAATAATCCCTAGTACCATTTCTAATGGTATTCCTAGGCAATACACCGAATAAAAAAAATGCAGAGTTATGTATAAGCAATGTCAAACAAATTTAACGCTTCCCGCGTTCAGGGATAGATAAATAGACCCCCGTAACAAATATATTGTGTTCTGAAGTGAATCAGGTTCGAAACCTCCAAGATATTTGAAACAAGTACAGTAAAGTACACAAATATATTTGAAACAGAGAAGGATAAACAGAAAGGGTATAGGTATGTTGATTAAAAATAGGTAATACATCTGGAAATGCGAAGCGGTCACTGCGCTATTACACTTATTGTATACACCTTACCATTAGAACACAGGCTAATAGTTAACTTAGCAGTTAGTAATAAATAATAACAATGTCAGTTATTGTGGTATTTACCATCAATGTCGATAACAGTGAGCTCCTTAGGCCTGGCAAGTCCGTCCGCCATCAGGTAATAATGCACGTGCGCGTCGTAGCAAATAAAGCCGACCTGCGTGCGCGCATCTCCGGGCAGCTCGTCCAGCTTCTCCCTTAGAGTGTCGCATACCACCTGAAAACACAGACAAGAAACATTTAACATAATGCCATATAGATATTAATATCCAAATGTATTTTTATTTAGGTGAACAAAAAAAAAAGAGTAAAATAATACACTTTTGTTTTAATTTTTTTATAGTAAAAAGTTACAAATTATCGAGTGGCTAGAATACGCTAATAGCAAAGCAACCGATCATAGACATCATAGTAAGAGAATATTTCCCCTGGCTATATATCCCATTTTCTGACAAATAAATTTTACCGTCCCATTCAATAAGGGTGGTTAGGGAAAGAGGACTAAAATTAGACCTCCTGTACATTTAACAATACGCGGAATTGCTTCCATTTAAAGTCTATTCTTTGTAGTATTGCATCAAGTTGGTCCATTCATGGAAAGGTCTACCGTGAATGTCATTCACAAAACAAACCTCTTCCACTGGCATCATTCAACTGAATGATTGAATGATTACCTGTAGATAACCGGATTCTCGTGCGATCTGCGAGACATCAAACAGAAAGAGGTAGACAGCGGGCTGCGGGGGACGCAGCATGTACTCGCCGGGCGCTATGAACTCTATGGTTGCGGATTTGATCTCTGGTCTGCGCGTCGGCTCGCCGTACGACTTACTCACTGGGTCGTATTGAAACTCTTCGGGCACTAAGAATATAATTAATTGTATTTAAAAACTACATGTTTTATTCATATTTATGTACTTTAACACTAGCTTTGGACTGCGACTCCGTCAGCGTGATATTAAAAAAATGCAAATGAGATGCTATCCTCTACGTCTATGCCAAATTTCATCGAAATCCGTTCAGCCGTTTAGGCTACAAACTCTAACAAACATTATAATATTAGTAAGAAAGTAAGAAGTAGGATTTTGTATGTATTAAAATAAACCAAAAACTACTAGGCCTATTTGAAACATTGTTTCACCATTAAAAAACTACGTTATCAGTAACATATATTTATATTTTGACATGTTTTTAACGTGGACGAAGTCTTGAGAAATAGCTTAAATACATTTCAAATCCAGTTATGGGCTCATAAGCTAAAAATAAAATGCAAATGACTGAAGAAAAGGTAAAGATTGGGTCAGATATACCTGTGCTTATCAAACTGGTTCAGTTTAAAGTAATACATTATAATGTTTTTAAATACAAGAGACTAAAATAAAGTATTTCACATATAGACATATTGAATACATCTTAATATTTATTTCATCCATATGTTATTTAAGGTAAATCTGAATATATGAAATTATTTTATGAACATCAAACTAATTATTAACCAGAGTACAAAGTTCCTTGTAATCAACTGACTCGTCTTAACCAACACAAAGGTCGATTTCATAAGATATTCGAACTTACGGTGATTCATAACATAGTATTTTAATAATTATCCTTAAAATGTCTTAACAGTTTTGACTACAGAACTTACAATTGAAAGATATATGAAAAAACAATTTCCTTTTCCACTAGTACGACTCGCTTTTTCGAGGTTTATATGTCTATAATGTCACAGTGAAAATTGGGTTTAATTTTTTTTATAAAGCATCACTCACAGTCATTAACACGGTAGCAGAGGTTGCATTTCCAGCGCTTAGCGTCCACAAAGTAGACGAAAGGGTTAATATAGGTGCGGCAAGCGCGGCACCGCACTATCGTACTGCACTGGATTACTGGCAGGTTCTGTAAATGATAGACAACCATTAATATTGTGAAAAAAAAACATTGAAATAATTTTCATAATGTTGGTAGCAGTTTCCGTAGCGCATTGTGGGGTCACGCTTGCGTTCTGATTCACGTAACCCCACATTAGCGTTGCGGTCGACCACCGTAGGAGTTTTAGTCGATGCCAGCTCGACATAACTTTACCACTAATAAGATAAGTATGCGTAAAGAATTTTCCCATGTTATAAAGACTAAAACGTCGCCAGGTGATCTAGACCTAGTCTGGGTGGGCAGCTATACGATCTTATTTGTAAAGATTTAACAGCCATCAAAAAGGAGGAGTCTAATTCGATAGGTATTTTTTTGTGTAGTGTATTGGTTATATTTATTTTACTCTAGAAAAACTTAACCTTATCCTCTATTTCTTTAAGGAGTCGACCACTAACAGTCTCTTTTAGGAAGTATGTAGTAATAAAAATATTGAAAATCTATTTTTAAAATATAAAAATAACTTACATTAAGATCCTTAAATGGGTGAATAAGAATACCCAAAGGTAGTCTACACTTTTGTAGCAACGAATTAGTGTCCGGTATTCGGTTTACTGTACATCGAAAGATACTGTAAACAAAAATATTATTACATCATTTGAAATATTATATGAAGACATACAATAACAATAATTACTTTCATCTCATTATTTATAATTGAATGACAAATTTAATTTGATCCCTTCCCTGCCTCGCAATACTTGATTCTAAAAACCAAGTTTAAATGGTTACTGTACTATGTTCAAAAAACATTAATATTGTGTCTGTTATTCTTATTAGATTTATTATAATACTTAAACTTTTTTGTAGACTATACAAGTAATGTCATAGGATAAGATATGTTACTTTGGATAAATAATGTGTCACTTGAACCACAGCTCTTATGTGAATAAGTTTGCTGTAAATACATTGCTGCATTTAGAGTTGGAGGGTTATGTTAGTACAATTAGAGTATTGGAAGAATACATAAATAAAGATTTATCAATTCAAATTATTTTAATTAAAACCTAGTATAGTATAAAAACATTTTTTCACATGTTATAGAGAACCTCCTGATTAAAAAGGATGACCTAGATTTTATATTTACGATGCATAAATAAATGTACATCTAAATTTAATATTAATATATCTAACATTTATGATGTGAAATGTTTAAATTTGTTGTGGGAATGGACTCTGCTTACGGTAACACATAAATCTACATAATGCTAATTTATGTACATTAGCCAGTCTAAGAATTATCAATACATGGGAAATACAATACAGTTTTGTTGGGTATTTTTTAATCTGTAACTGTGATAAATTAGACATGGTTATTATGTATTGTTTTTATTGTATTTTATAAGCCTATGGTAAAATATTGTATGAATGTTTCACATACTTTCTTATTTATTTTTCTAATTATAACAAAATGTTTTTATTATCAATTAATAGGTCTTTTAATCTTAAAAGCCAATTAAAAGATTAGATCTATATTAAGTTAAAAAGAAACGTAAACATTGTTAAAGTAAATTTGTTAATTATTTAAAAAAAAAGCAGCTCATTAAAAGACTACTTTAATAGGTTTTAATTAGGTAGTTAAGATAAAAGGACATTTCAATGATTTGTACACAACAATTATCACAGTTTATGCTTACTTAAATTTACGCAGACAAACTACTTTTAATGCCACGTAATTTTTTTAGAAAGTGACATTGATACGCGCCTAGATTGTCATATTTGAAGGTGAATCGTACAACTCAGCTATCGCTATAGGTTTCATTTAATTTATAGTTTTTTTATTTGTTTTAATATCCCACTTAATCTTTATTCATATTATAAAGAGGACAGTTTAAACTACTAAAGAGATAAACCTACTGGGCCGATTTCGAAAAAATCTTTCACCATTAAAAAACTATGTTATCAGTGAGTAACATAGGCTACATCTTTTAATATTTTCTTATTCCATGTGGGCAAAGTCGCGAGGAACAGCTTGTTGTTAAATAATACATAAAGTCTTTTAGCGGGGATTAAGTTTATTAATAAAGATTTCGGAATTCTGAGCGAAGCAGTTAGTAATACTTTAAATTGTTTTAAAAATATTTCTGAGTTTTTCTCAACTTTTGTAATTCTTATGGATTATAGTAAAATCTATCATATTAAGCAATTCAACAGATAGTGACTATCATAAATCTCCGAGATAAAATGGCACTTGACTTATATAGTAAATAATGTTATCAATTAATATACAACATGCTAGATAACAAAAAGCTGGACTTATGTGACACATCATCAACTTGCCCTTATCCCTTATGGAGGGTTGGCACATTCCATACATCTCTATCAGCCGTTATATCTGAATCTACTCCTTTCTTAAGCATATCCTCTTACACTCAATCCATGATACATGTGATACAGAATATTGAACTCCATAACAATCAATAAATACATTAGATATTATATAATGAATGAACTTTGTTATTGTGTTATAGGAATATTGTATAATTTTTCTAAAAATAATGTTTGGGATAAAGACGGGACTCTACTTTAAAAATACCTTATTTAATATTAATTTAGATTGCTAATAACTTTTGGTAGATTTACTTTATTGAAATAATACTAACAATATTTCAATAATTAAATGCATTATTGTGGAACATGATTCTCTACTTAATAAAACATATTATTCAAATGATGAAATTTAAATAACACTTATGAAATAATTTTGAAATTCAAATATGTAAAGATTTATTACAATGGATTGCTAGCATTTAATTCACAAATCTAAGTCACAACAATGAAAATAATTGTAAACAAGTGATAGAAATATCTTGTGAAATGTCCTTGCAAATAACAAAGCATACAATGATACTAACTCCTAGCCAATTCCACATATCTGTACTAATCCATTGTATGTCAATATCTTGAAATTAAAAACTATAATACCAGGACTTAAAAATATAACCAGATTTCTCCTGCACCTCCATCCATAAAGAATTAAAAAAAAAACAATAGTAAGTAGCTTAAGTGTTCTGACACACTATGCTCCACATCTATGGCAAATTTCATCATGATTTCAAATAAACATCAATCCATCCATCTTAAACTTTCACATTTATAACATTAAGATTGTAACGAAATAACATAAAAAAGCAATTAGTATAATACAATATTTGGCATACTAATTAACTTTATCTACATTCCATGGCAAATAACTATTTAGAAACAATAAGTACTTACTCAGGACTGCAATTTGGTGCATCCGCAAACTGGTGGCCGAGCCTTATCTCTGGAGGATCCTCAGGGTACTCAGGCAGTATATGTCGGCATTGAAGTAAATCCATCATCTGATGACCCCATAACTGATCAAAACCCTGCTTCGTCACACTCAACTGGCCCATTTGCTGTGTCATAGCTTGAGCAGTATATGGCGTCTGATACTGCTTGCCCACAGGCTGTGGGGGCAGCAGAGGTTGCTGGCTAGACCCACTTGGAGGCATTTGTGGGTATCTGTTCTGTATGTTCGATTTAGGTGGCCCCGGTAAATGTCCAGTAGGCGGGCCAGCATTAGGATTTTGACTCATTTGATTTACACTAGGCTGTGGTGGCAACGGTCCCATTGGTAAGCTCGCAGGACCACTGTACATTTGTGGTCTTGGTCCAGGTGCACCCATTGATACATTTGGCCCTACTAATCCATTGTTATGTTGAGTGGAATATTGTTGATTACCAATTTGTGGCCCCATAGGAGGCTTCATCAACCCACTTATTGGGGGTAGAGAAGTTGGCCCAGATGCAATACCAGTGTTAGGCCTTATTTGGCCAGGCATGGGACCAATTGGGCCATTTACTCCTGTTGGTCTTGGATGCCCTATTTGACCAATTTGCCCAGTGGAGATGGGAGGTCGAGTCATGGGCGGACCTGATATTGAAGGACTATTTTGTAAAGGGCCTGAATATGAAGTACTAGGTTGACTAGTCAATGGGCCAGGCGGTACTGATGCAGGAGGGTAATAAGCTGGTGGCACAGATTGATTCATTGGCCCTAGTAAGTTCGTAGAATTAACAGGTGGCTTGTTAATAACAGGACTGTAGGAAGTTGATGGTGGTGAAGTTATAGTTGTATGTTGCATTGTTGGTTGGTTTATTTGTGGTGGTAGTGAGGGTGGACCATTCATAAGTGGTTGATTGAATTGACTAGATGGAATAAGAGGTGGAGTATTATGATTTATTTGATGCTGTTCTTGGTATTTAGGATGGTAAGGCAAAGTATTAGAATTGGGATTAGCTGAAGATGAAGGAATGTTTTGAAACATGTTTTGATTTGAACTTCCTATAATAGGTTTGATTGGTGGTCTCAATGGTGATGAATTGAAGGCAGGAGATGGCTGAGGCATAATTCCCGACTGATTGAAGGCAGGCGAACTACTTGCACTTTGATTATAGTGATTGAATTTGCTCTGGTTAGTCGGGCTAATGAATCCAGGCACAGGACTGTTTGAGTTAGCGTCTTGCTTTAATATTGATGGTTGTGACGTTGGATTATATTGGTTGGCATATTGTGGCCCGGGCTGCGCATTTGTCTGTGGCACTCCCGAGATATTGTTGTACGGACTTGGTTGAAAGTTTGACATATTTGTCAATCTGAAAACGATATAAAAGCCTTTGTTCAACTATATCATGAAACATTGAATGCAATGTGTTTGCTTTATGTTTATTTTATGATAAAATAGTTCTTATCGACAAGGATTTTTAATTAATGCTAATTCACTGAAGATGACAGAAGGACATAACTTTAAAGTGACTTACCGCAGTCCAGGGGAAGCTACAACACGGGAAATTTATTTTACACTTTTTGTAATGCTATAACATTCTCACATATTATCCCGCAAGGTGGAATTAACGTATTAAAATAACACAGTGAAGAAAAATACGACCCTGACTTACGTGGCCGAGCGATTAAAAGCGCCCTCTACCGGAATAAATAATTGATATTTGACTTGACATGTCAAAACTGTTTCGTTTACAAAGACAACTAACAATAAAATGTCATCGTTTTTTTAAGTTTTTCACTGTTCGTTTTTATTTAATTTTAATAAACAAAAATGACTGACACAAATAGTAAAGTGTTCTATACGCATCAGATGATTTATATTATATTCAATTAAATGATTCGTTTTCCGAATAACTCGAATCGATTTAACGCTGAAATACTTATCTTAACTTCAGGTAAATTTTATATCCTCTTTGGTAAATGGTCGCAATGTAACTTTTCTGCGATCTACGACTTACAATTCGCTACATCATTTCAACGCCGCTTTTAATCGCTAATAATAGTTTATAAATATTGCACCTTCTTTATAAATGTAAACTGTTTAGCCCGAGTCCGAATTTAGAAAACTTGTCATTTGGGCGCTTGATCTTAGAACACTCTCTTTTTTTAATGCCATTCTCTTACCATTACAAATTAGTTTTACACTCACTGGTCTATACAATTAAGGACAACTCGCTGCTTTTTGTTGGAGAAGTCACCTTTTGTTTCATTCCCACTTAAAAGCGCCTATCAATTTTGGCGACAGTTTACTCTATCCCTGTCATGTGTTCGAATTCTTCCCACTATTGACAACCGCTAGTCAGCGCCAAAGTGCCGAAAATCGAATAGACCCAAAGCTCAACAGCTTATAGTATAGCCTGATCATATTGTTACATTTTCTGTGTGATTTTGTTTTGTTTTTAATCAGGGAATGGAATGGAATGGATAGGGAACGAAAACAAACACTTTTAAATTGTATCTAGTCCGGTATTTTTAGACTTTTGCTGTCAACAGCTAAATTAATTTGCTATTTCCATCTGCATAATGTAGATATTAAAGCAGTTGTTTATTTCTTTGGTAAAATTGGGATTGAGATAATTAAAACGCACTTTTGGAAATTCAAACATTTGTATTTCAATGAGTTTTAAATCAATGATTTAGTCGAAACAAAATTTTAACAAAGTACTGCGTAAGTTTCAATTTGATTGGATCAAGCCACCGGAAAGGTTACAAATAACATTACAATAATAATAAAAAAAAAGACATAAAATTTGTGGAAATAGAAATTATAACATTCTAAGATAGGTGGCGCTGCGCGTCTCTCCAATCAAACTTCCATGCAGGATTACAAACTAGCAGGTCTACACTTAACATTATCTCAACACTTCATTCTCCGTTATTACAAAAAGTATTCAAACTGATCACAATTATATGGCAGCTCCATGGAACACCATGCAACACTTAACCAACACTTTTCAAGTAGAACAAAATATATGACATTTCTTTTTAATTCAGTCCACAGGTGCCCCCTTCACAAGTACCAAGTTATATTCTAGAAAAAAAGCAAATCATATCTTGCTTACATTCAAAAACATGTATACAGATTGATTGATTAAAAACATTGAATTACAGAATTAGAAAAAAGAATGTACATCTGCCTTAATTTGATTTGATGGATTTTTTAGTGTAAATTTATAACAAAACCATGGAAGACACATTGGGTGTTGTGAAGTCTAAAATTTAAAAGATTCAAAATGCTTTGAAGTAGATCCTACTGCAGAGATTTTGTTTACTTCTAAATGAGACAAATGTTTTTACCCTAGTATTTTTTTTTATATTAACATAAATATATACATGTGTCGGACTGTAGTCTCGAACCATTCTTAATCCAAAATGTCACATATTTCCCTTGACTCCCGTATAAAACTTAGCTCGATTCAATCTTAATTAATGAGATGTGGTTGGTTGGTAAAAATGCAAAAACAATCACATAACAGACTAGTTTCCGAACACGCTATCGAAAAGTAACAAAATTTAACACATTCGTTTTTTTTACAAAAAAAAAAAGGATAGGCCACGAACGGAAGTCGATCACACAATAAGCTCCTCTCTGTACAGCGGATTTCATAAATCCGGAGAGAAAACAAAATGAAAATAATCTGTTATCGAATATAATGTACAGTTCAGCACAACTATGTTTCATATAATACGATTTTATCGACCAACGGTCTCCGCAACAAACTCACAAATACAATCTACATATAGATAAAAACTATTCAGTCGTTTTTATTTATCCATAAAAATATATCTTTAAAAGGCTCAAATAAAACTGTTACAGCTCTAAGTACCGTTGACAGTAGAGTCGCGATCGGACGTGTCTTATAGCAAGAGTCGTCGCCGTCACGACGTCGTCACGTCACCGTCACGTCGTCGCGTGTCCGTCGCGGTGCAGTGGCCGCAACGCCCACAAGTACTGCAACTTCACTTTCGACTTGGGACAAATATAAGCCGGAAAGTCAAAGTAACATGAAAGCAGACATCTAGAAACTCGCCGTTCAAATTAATGCTTTTTTGAACATTTCATGTAATTAGCATTCAAAAAGTAGACTTGAATAAGGAGTATTTTTGCTGATTTAATATTTTCGTCACTACGCAGAGCGAAAAGCATTTACAGCAAACTATTCCCTTTAAAAGTGTTGCTTTTCACAGAACGGTATTTACGAGTCATCACTATTTGGCTGATCATATAAAAACCACTGGAATTCGAACCATGTCAGTAAGTAATTTTAACAAATATTAATAATCTACAAAACAATACAAAAACAGCAATTATTAGGTACATTTTAGCCCTTCTTTCAAATTATAACATAGTAAATCAGCTTCAACAATGCTGCGACAAGATCGACACATCTTCCTAGATCTACATTTTTAAACAGACGTTGCAGCCACTGTTTAGATAACTGTCTCAGGTCGCTTGCAACACCAACAGGAGATCATTGCCACCTAAATATACTCTCCAAATATTTTTTTTACGTTTTTACTCTAACTTCACACCAGACAATTAAAATTTAAAAAAATGAACTCTGCATAGACTTTAGAGGTATAAATTGTACTCAAAGTTTTTTATTAACAAAGTCGAGTGCGAAATTAGTTTTTTTTTTTGTTCTAACAAGGATCTTTAGTTGGCGTCGCAAGCGATATATTACAGGGGGGTGTACAACGCGGTGGGGGTCGAATCTTGTACTGCGTCGCTCGATGGAATGTGACACTGACACAGACGCGGTGGCATGCGCACGCGCACGTTCGTTCGCTAGGTGTGACGTCACAGGGAGACCGAGTAGCACAACCGCACAATGTTGAGGCAAATCGGCGGGTACAGCTACACTAGCATACATTCGAGTCCTCAGATCCCAAACCGAACACTTTAAGCATAAAGCCGAGCCATGTGCTTACAGCTAAAGTTACAAATACACTACTCGTTACAAGGTATACTTGGAATCATCCGCTCACAAACTAGGTAATAGAACTGTCTAGTAGAAGTTTCACTTGTAGCTCGGTAGCATGATCGTCGAGGGCGTATCATTGGTAGGGGTGGCGGGGGTCTGCGGCGTGGGGGGAGTTAGTGCACTTGCACAGACTTGTCCGTGGGCTGCTGCAGACGGCGACGCAGCAGCTGCGACTCCGCGGGCGGCGAGAGGCCCAGTGGGGGGCAGCAGTCGTCGACGCAGCGCGGCAGCTCGTCCTCCAGGATGTCGGGGCTGGGGTGGCAGGACTTGCTGGAGCGCAGCGCGCCCGCCGGACGCTCCATGTACGAGTAGTTCATGGAGAAATGCTGCTGGATCACGCGGTTCACCGCCATCGCTGACTCCGCGAAGTTCGACAGGTTGCGAGCCGACATATTACTGGAAATATTTGTATTAACAAATATTTATTAACACAAAAAGTTTTAAGATGTAAGCTCTAGGAGGGGTGTAGCTACCATTAACATGCACTTATTCGGGGTAATATTTTTAATATATTTTACATCTTCCGATTCAAGAGGACAGCTGCTTCTTCGCCTAACATCCCTGGCAACGTTAATATCATAGATGATGTTAAAGATTCGTGATATTTAAGTTTCAAAATAATTTTTTTTAATAATTTGAGGCATATTCATAGATTAAGATGTATTACCGTTGCATGTTGCGCGGCGTGTTGAGCGGCGGGGCGGCGCGGCAGTCGGCGGGGCCGGCGCGCCGCAGCCAGGGATGCTGCAGCACACGCTCGGCGCTCAGCCGGTGCGACGCCTCACGCACCAACAGCTGCCCGATCAGCTCCTTCGCCTCCCACGATATGTTCGCCCACTCCTCCTCCGGGAACGAGTACCTACCCTCCTGGAGAACAAACATACAATTAATCACATTAGACAATGTACTTTCTCTACAAGATTGTATTGATGACTAGGTATTGCTCGCGGCTTCGCCCGCGTGAATTTTAAAAAATGGGGAAAAACCCCATGTTACTCATTGATAACGTAGCTTTAATGATGAAAGAAATTTTGAAATCGGCCCAGTAAGTTATTTTAATACAAAAATCTTTCCTCTTTATAATATTAGCATAGAGGAACGGTCTTGTAATATAGTATGAATTTCAGGTTTGGGGCGAAGTATTAATAAACTTAATTGACTGTAAGTAGCTCTAGGCAGGTACCTGTATGGTGGTGAAGAGCAGCTCCTGGCAGGCGCGGCAGTTCTCGCCGCGCTCCCAGCCGCAGTCGTTGCCGCAGTCGGCGCGGAAGGGCGGGTAGCCGCACAGCAGGATGTACGCGATCACGCCCAGCGACCACAAGTCGCAGCGCTTGTCGTAGTGCGTCGCCGCGGAGCCCGCGAACAGCGACACCACCTCCGGCGCCATGAACTCCGCGCTGCCCACCTACAATCATACATTGTTAATTATTACGTTTGTTTGTTTAAATGAAGTTATATGGGAATGTTCACATCCTAGGGTATTTCGTAACTTCAAGTATGTTTAACCGGTTTGAACCGGTCGACTAACGATGACGACGACGACGCGAGGTTTTATTTTATTAACTTACAAATAGTTGACAAGCACAAGTTTTTATTTTTTATTATGTACTAGCTTTCGCGCCTGACTCCGTTTGGGTAGAATTAAAAAACTTTAGTAAGAAAAACCAGCATTAAAACTCACTGTAGTCAAGTATTACTAGAACAGACAGTAGTAAGGAGTCTTTACATAATTTTTAATATGACATGTAAAAGATTTTTGTAGTAAATTGTCGTGACAGTAAGTGTGTTAACTGACCGGTGTCATGAGCTGCGGCGTGGCGAGCGGGCTGGCGAGGCTGGAGGTGAAGCTGATGCCACTACCGAGGTCGAAGTCGCAGATCTTGACGGGGCACAGTCTGTCGCGGTGCACACATAGAATGTTCTCCGGCTTGAGGTCGCGGTGCGCCACGCCCTTGCCGTGCAGGAAGTGCAGCGCGTTCGCGATCTCGCGCACAATCTCCGCTGCCTGCGGCTCCGAGAAATAATGGTGCTCCTGGATACGAGACAGGAGCTGGCCACCGTTGATCTGTAACAATAAAAAATAAAATTCAAATTATTTATTCAAACAACAGTATTTGTTGAAAACACTACGAACAATACGACACGATAAAAAATATCTATGACGTTATCGCTTAAATTTAATTTAAATTTTACTTTTTGGGTTCAATAACGAAAAAATGTCTGTCTACTGTTGTACTGTTGTTGTTGTTGTTGTTGTTATTTTTCTATGTATGTCGTCTATAATAAGGATTAATTATCTGCCTGTTACTTATTGTACTATGTAAAATGTATCGTAATGATGTGTCATAATTTTGTTCTGATGGTTTAATTCAATAAATAAAAATAAATAAAACAAGGTAGATAGATAGTCAACCAACCCACACATGGCCAGCGTGGTTGACTATGGCCACTAGGCCACTTAGTAAGGGGGTGACTACACCCCCTTACTAAGGGTAGGGCCTGAGCCCCTCGGTGGGGACGTGTAGTGAGCTGGTAATGATGCGAGACAGAGAGATTTCTCTATAATTTCATATATAAATCAAATAGTTTAATCCATACTTAGCAATGGGTATATCGTTATAAAAGTCCAACAATCAAAAACGCTATTGTCTATATTCGCAGTGTCACCTTGACTATTGTGCTAACAATGACGCCCCCGACATGAGTTATGTTTACATACATTTGTTTACATCACAATGAGGTAAATCGGCGGAACATTCCCCAAACAATGAAACATTATCATACGCTAAAAGTGTTCAATGTGTCAACAAGCGGCAACACGCGCCCCGATGTGACTCACTAATGTCTGTCTAGGTAACATTGTTTTTTTTTTAATTTTCGCTTTTTACGACCTAAGTCAATATTCAATCTTTAAACCAAAATTATACATACTAATATAGAGGAAAGATTAATATTTTTGTATGTATTGAAATAACTAAAAAAAGCTACTGGGCCGATTTCAAAAATTCTTTTACTATTTAAAAGCTACGTTATCACTGATTAACATAGGCTATATTATTTACGATTTTTTCACGCAGACGAAGTCGCAAGCAACAGCTAGTTTTTTAAGATTTTATATCTGAATGGGGCAAGTTATTTCTCTCCTTACTCTCTAACCAATAGATTCTATAGACCACCAATCCAATCTATAACGAACAGATTTAATATAGTATAGATATATTAAATTTCATATAAGAAACAACACAAATCAGCAGAAATGATTTGAGATTGAATATAGAGATTTCCGCTTATATTCGAATCAAACTCTCTTCCGATAGTCGACAAGATATATTCTCATCATTTTCCATTAAATTCTAAAAACGTTGCAAGAAAGTTCGAGCGCTGTCGTATTGGCACGGAAGTGTTTGGTGACGCAACAATCTGCATTCATGTTGACATGCCTCAGACTGCGTAAGCCCCTCATATAAGTAATGACATATTCTAATTTTACTTGGTAGTGTTATTTAACAAGACTTTTACGTGTCTACAATAAAAAGGGATATGTAGTAGTACCTAGAATATGAAAGGATTGCGTGAAAGGAGACATGATCAAGAAGGGAGTGATGACTGAGATGACGGATGATGAATTTGGAGGACGAAAACCCGTTGCGACACCACGGGAGTACGATAGGGGGAGATGATGACTATATATCTGGGATATCCCTGTAAATTTTTTTTTTATTTCTACACATCAAAACTAAAACAAGCAGAACACTTGTATGAAATGTGTCAATTAATACAATTTAAATAGCAAAGAACATGTGTTGTTATTACAAGAAAAGCGTATCTAAGTGGGCGTGAAGCGTCGAACTTTCTGGAACGGTGGAATGAACTGTATAGAAACTATAGGTGTTTGACATTCTAGTGGCGCAGTGTTTACGTCACGTTCACACGATAAACTTAGCTTCGTTTGAGATTACACGCTAAGGGAAAAACAAACAGCGATCCAAGTTAGCATCGAACTACTAGCGTCCGTCTCCGTATTGATCGCTTCGTTAAAACTGGAACCGATATAAGCCTAGGTATTTGTAAAATTAAATGTTGACAGTTTCCAAAGCGTTCATTAGCTAACTATTACACAGTAAAGTTACGAGTTTGTTTAAGTAAGTCGTTTGTCCTTACTACTTGAATGTGTGATAAAAATTTCAAAGTACATTTTATCATCAAAAATCAGTTAGAAGAAACATACGATAGATACCATGCCGGATTTGATAACAAATCGATGGAAAATTATGTGTATTGATATAGATAATAGTAAAAAAACTAAAAATACTTTAGTAGAGTCAAATATTTATAATCAGATTTCATAGTAATCTAATAAATTTCAGATAACACTCGATGAAATACGCAATAGTTTTAACAATTACATAAGTGACTTATTGTCATTATGTGAAACCTATCAGAGTAATTTAATAAAACATTAAACAATGCAAATTAAATGAAGTTTTGATAATTTACGACAATACAAAAGTAAAGGTACTTTTGACGTAACCTTAACTGACTTAAAATATCGACTAAGAGCGCGAACACCCTACGAACTATCGCACAACTGTTTAGTCTCGCTTAGATTCCTATGAGCTTATATGGAGGTACACTAATCGATTTTTAGTTGTGCAACTAAACAGTTGAATGGGTTGCGAAACAATCGACAATCGCACAACAGTTGTGAATTCGATCTTAAGAGTACCTAACACCATAGCCAATATATCGTAAAATGAATATTATATCTGTACTAACCTTTTCAAAGACAAGATAGAACTTGTCGGTGTCCTCAAAGAATTCAATGAGCTGGATGATGTTGGGGTGTCCCTGGCAGTAGTGGAAGGTCTCCACCTCGCGGAACACCCGGGCGCGGGCGTGGCCGGGCACCTTGTCTATGATCTTCACTGCAAACTCTCGCCCCGTGTAGATGTTGACGCATGTCTGCACCGACGCGTATGCGCCCTCGCCCAGCACCTCCCCTGTCAGCTTGTACAGGTCTGCGTAAAAACAATATTATTACTACCTAATATTACTTACGTAAAACACGAACTAACTAGCTAGACTAATGTACTTAATAATCAAAACTATACTATAAAATAAATACATTTTCTCTTTTCCTTTCCACCCTCTTCTTTTGAGAAAAGGAAGGGAAGGAAAAGTGGATTTGATGGCGGACGAGACGCATAGAAGGGGAAATATCCTCTTTATATGCGACTCCTCCTTCGTCGATTAAGGGTAGGCAACGCATCTACAATTGCGGATGTCTATGGGTAGCGGTCACTTCGACACTTTGGCGGATTTAGGTGGCCGCTTGTTTGTTTGCCACCTTATAATATAAAAAAATATATATTTTAATACATATTGAACTTCTTTTAATGTAATGGCAATCTGTATCTAATCTCATCTCTCATAAAAACAACCCTTATCTTAAGAAAAGTAATGCCGAAAACATGTGTGAGTCATTCAAATTCAACAACTTTCCAAAACGTTAGTAAATAATGAAGTCATTCAATGTTTATCATTACTTATTTGCAAATGACGTAATATGTTTGTACCTACATAAGCTGTTCGTACAAGTACAACCGTTTTAAGCTAGGGTACCCTTGACCAATCGTATCCGTTCAGAGAATTGCGCCCTAATTTCCATCAACGTAATAACAAGACTATGTATGAAGGGACAAAAGCAATTTCATTTCGGCGAGGGTGCGGAGTACACTCGACAAAGGCAGATAAAAATTTGAATAACGTTTAATCACTTGTGAACTATTACTCTAGTTTTTTATTATTCCAACAGAGTTCACAGTTCTCACGACTAAAAGATTGATCAGTGTTGGTAATATCGAAATTATTCCACAGTTCATGCATTAAAGTATACAAAATTCAACTGCAAGGAATTTAGTTAAATTATATTGATGTGTATTTTCTCGTGAAAATGTTGACAAATATTCGTCTTTACGTTAGTACAGTAACAGAACAATAGCGTTGCGAATGCGTATAGCTTATACAACAGTCAAAGGTAAGCAAAAACATCCGACTGAAGCCCTACTACTGCGTTCGTTATGTCTGGCTCGGCAATTACCTAACACACTGTTACTATGTAGTCATTTCACATTTGAGGACGTTTATTTCCTATCTGTGAAATGACGCTTACAAATAAATCGAAAAATTAATGTATGTACTTTATTAAATGGGTAGCGAATTTAATTCCTTGACTGTACAGTATAAAAAATTATCAACATTATATAATACAACAAACAAAATTAATCGCAGAATGACTAATACGTCTGCAGACAACACAGACTGGCGGATTAGGGACCCGGTCAGTGGGCGACAAAATGACCTCATAATATCCGTATAAGTAGAGAGAATACTTTTGATTTTTGTATACCTGTTTTTTAACTATACTTGAATATGTCATGACTAACATATATTATTGACTTCGTATAAGTCTTCTAGACATGGCTAAAACAAACTCCTACGTTAAACTATATTTGTAGATGTAATTGCCGTAAAAACATTGACGAATGTTGACCTAAAAATTATAATTAAGGAAGTTTGTCACGTCAACACTAATGACCATTTTTAAGGACACTTGGTCTATCGTAGTTGTGTTTGGATACATAATTTAATTACTCAGTATGACGTAAATTGTAATCGTTCTATTTTTATATCTATAGTATGGTATTAGCATAATTATAATACAATACAATTATACTCCGTCAGGGTAAGACAGCAGAATTTAAAAAGCTATAAATTATAATAATTATATTTTACTTAGGTATTCAGGTTATCGATGTCTTTATTCCGATGATTTGTTTTAATCAAATCGCAATATTTAATCGAAATGAGGTCGATTCCATTTGAATAACAATTTAATTTCTAATTATAAATGGAAATTCTAGAACTTTCTTGTTTAACATCAACTTATTCACTTGAAGTTGTTCACGTAACTACTTAGTACTACTTACTACTTTGACCAATGTGAAGCTCACATATTACTTAAAGGTTTATATACAGGTCGATTCTTAACGGACGGTCGTTTTTTTGACCACTGTAAACACATTATTTTGGATGTACGGTCAAATTTATGTCGGAAATCTGATTTTTCCGATTTTTTTACAAAAATATGTAATCAGACAACAAAGTTTGCGTATAAATGATAGCTATTGAGGTCCTCAAACTCCACAAAACCGTTGATCCATCCGTTAAAAATCATCCTGTATACTAAAACGTGGCAATTTAGCAAACGATCATCGGTTTCTACGAAATAATAAAGTCTAAAATTTACTTGAAGGAGGGAGGGTACAGAAAAACAGTGACTACGGTAAAATTGTAGCTGAACGTGTCATATCGACCATACGTAAAGAGTTACATATATTAAGAGAAACAGAGACGTAATCTTTTAGTTGAATGGATTGTTCCGCGTAGGAAGTGAGACTAACCTTGGAAGCACGAAGTGACGACGGAGCTGCCGGAGCGCTTCTTCCTGCGGCGCTTCCTGCGGGCCTCCTCCTTGCGGCGCTGGAGCTCCTCGCTGTCGGCGATAGCCATGGGCGCGGAGGGCTCAGCGCGTGCGCCGCCGCCGTCCGAATCACGCTCGCTACCGGACTGGCTGCTGCAGCGGCCCACACCTAAAACACACATATCACCGTTTAACGCTGCTAATTTAACAAACCAATAAAAATTAAAAAGGATGCTCTTTAATTGCATAAAAATTTAGCGGACTTGAGACGGACCAAATAAATGAAACGCAGAGCCCAGGATAGAGCGAGCAGGCAGCGCACTGTGGATGCCCTCTGCCCCACTTCGAGGACATAGGACAAGAAGAAGAAGAAATAAATGAATTGATCCAATAGTCGGTACTATACTAAAAGGTATTCGTCGTTTAAGACAAAATCATGTTATTGAACAGTCACGAAATCAACAAATAGCTTCTAGAAGAAACTAGTTTCCAGTTATAGCCATTAAATTAGAATAATGGTAAGGACGAACGAGAAATCCAAGCCGCCTTCGTAGGCTTTAAGTTTCTTGTCGACTAATTTAGTAATGTATTCGCGAATAGGTTTGTAAAATTTCTATTCTAACCTTTCACTAAAAATTTACCTTGAATACTCATTTTATGGCACCTATTTTACAAATTGTTTTAGTTTATAGAAACTTAATTGGATAATTAATTTACATCTCATATCTAAATAATTCCGTTATAATTAATAACAAACTGTTTTTAAAAATTGTAATTTTTTATTTCACATTTCACTGATTAACATTTATGCTGCTGACGCTGCTGTCAATTTGCATTTGTGTAAAAATTGCACAGATACAACAAAAAAAAGTCGTTGTAATACCAACTCTTTTGTCGTTGTGCTCTTCTATCACCATGGCAACCGTTGCTTGCATGTCATTGTATTCGAAATTTGAATATAACTGCGACAGATATTTATTTACATTCGACAAGATGTAATTAAATAAATATTTTGTCCATACGCATTTACCAGCACGTAGACTGAATGCACCGTAACAGAATAGCCGTTAGTTGGACGCTTTGTAGGTCTTGTACAACTGATCTAAATTCGTATACTCATTGGTGGACTAATGTATTATTTTATTTTTAAAACGTCATATGCATTGTATAACGATTGCGTTATAATTTAAGCTTTTGTAACAATATAAACTGTTTTGTATATTATTAAATAGTATTGGCTGAGGAACAAAAAGGTTTTTATCGAAGGGTACACATGTCGTCAATCGGTGAATACGATATTGTGACGTCACAGTGGCGTGGCGTGACTGCAGCTGAGTTGGCAAACAAAGCGGGGTCGGTGACCGGCGCACCCAGCGGCCGCTGCCCACGTACCATTCCCGCTCGAGGTCTCGGATTCTACCTACTTTATACTAGTCAGTAGTCAGTAGTAACATTTAATGTTGGGATAAATTTAAAGTTCATTCATGATATTGGGTTAGAGATGCATGATAAACAAATAGTAAGACAAACATTTGTTCAAAACTGCGATTTTGAGACACTACAAGGTTAAGAAAAGATTCCATACTGATATAATTATAATAATCTACTATCTTACTTATCTTAGAAAAAAGATAATTTTATACATAAACGATTAATAATTTCCATGTTTATATGCGTAACTTCCATTCTTAAACAATAGTTAGTCTAATAGAGTTGCTACTTGTATAATTAGTGAAACAAAGCAACCATTTATACATACAATTACGCTGTTCATCCTACATTACATACAACACTAAAGCAGGGGCACTGAATGTCTAGTACTTATAGAATTAACACTCAAGAGTCGTTTATTGGTTACTAAGTCATCCTTAGTGTGGATTTACGAGTGCACACTAAATGATGTTTAAGTTAACATAAATTACTCTGAGTACGATATAAGTATCTCTTTGTATAATGCTAACGCACAATACCGTCTTCCTTACATTTTACTTAATGTTTTGAATACAGATGTAATTTACAAGTCAGTATCTGAAGAATACGTGACATATATACGCTATCAACAAATATATTGTTATACGAAATTATACTCTATGCTAACGACGGAAAGATAAAAATAAAACGAACATGTTTATCAATAACTTCCACGCGGTAAAAATACAGTTCTTGTATATATATCCAACGCTCTGTAGTATTTATTATTCTTAAAAATATCTTATTCAACAAATTTTCCATTCTACACAAATATAAAATTACTAGCTTTTGCCCGCGACTCCGTCCGCCTGGATTTAAAAAAAAAACTAAAGTGAAAAGCCTATCATCCTCTATATTTATGCCAAATTTCTTTGAGATCGGTTCAGTAGTTTAGGCTACACACTCTAACAAACATCCCTCCATCTAAACTTTTGTATTTACAATATTAGTAAGATATTAAAATAAAAATACAATCGAGTTCATGTAAATCCTTGACTTTTTACTGTAACTAAGTCGGATTCCCAAGGCTACCTTATCTAATATCAACTTGGTTGGTACAATGGACAACACAATTGAGATAACATTTATTCCTCAATACTGCTATTGGACAAATTAATACGATGATTTTAATATTTATCTGAAATGTGAATTGAAATGTATTTTTGCACATTAGAAACATTCATATGAATAATTGAATAACAGCGGTACTATCTCGCAATCGGCAGTTTCATATGCACACTTCCTGTTTACAAATTGCTCTATATTCCTATATTAATTATACGAACGGCACATTGCGTTAAATATAGCATTGTTAATAAGTCTTCTCTACAAACACAAGTTATTACTAACAATTAAACGCTCTGTAAATTAAAAGAAATATATATTTTAGTAGCTCGTGTATTACGCCCTTATTTTTGCTAATACGCAACTCTCTATATCTACTAGTTTTGGTTGTTTCCAACGGAACTCAACGAACCATAACAAAGAGTCGTTAAAAACCATAATAAAATGACTCCTGATCATTGTTGTACAAAACTAAATCGTGGCTCAACAAAGAACGGCGCACCCACATTAACTTGATCACGATTAAACAAATGTCGCATTTAAACTTCAAACTAACAAGGACAAATTATAATGAAGCATACAATTTAGTTGTTTTTAATTAGTCCATTTCCGTTGTGACGAATAAATTCGGCAATTTTAATGCGAATAAAAGCGATGTTATCTAAAATGTACGATTAAAAATAAACATGTTAAATATCTTTCCATTACGTAAAACGAAATCCACCTTTAGTCACTGTTTATTTACAAAATCCACGTGAATTAGTGGTTGTGGACTTCCTTTACTCCAATGTGTGCTTACAGATCAATTTCTGTAGGCACCGAAAACGTTCAATCGATTATGGTACTATGCAAATTTAAATAATAATTGAAGTAATCAAAAAACATACTCATACTAACAAATAATTTAATTACACTGGGACAAAAAAATCTATGCAAAGACAAGAGGCATGTGTGCCAGCGCGTGAGCTCAGTGGCGCCACGTGGTGGAACGAGGCAACTCGCCGGCAACGTGGCGGTTACGCAACACAGATGTCGAATCGATTCAACAGTCTTTCGAAATCCTTAACTCTTGCAGTATTAACATATGAGATAAATAGAAATTGGTTCAAAATATAAATTAAAATACAAATCTCATCTGTATGTAACAAATACTTTAATAAATGGAAACGCTTAATTTCTATCTAATCAGAAAGTTACCTAATTTTGTCCCTGCACCGTATTCTACATCATGATAAAAATACCTGACTAAGATATAGTTTTAAAAGTCATTTAACTTACGCTAAAAAACATCGAACACCAATTAATTCTTTTAAATATTTTTAAACTTGGAAATCTAATACGTTGAAATATTTTTTGTGGATGAATAACGAGTAGGCTGTTTACAAGCGCTGTAGGTGAAATCAGTGGAAAAAGCTAGTGACAATTACTTTCTAGTGATTAGAGAGCTATATTATAACTAAACCCAAGCATTAGTATTACTGTTGGCCGATAGCTGTAGGACCATGCTTTCACAGCATTTTATACAAGAAAAGAATACTACGAAGTTTATGCCGCAAGCTATTCCGTTTGTGAAAACATAATATGCAAGGAACTACAAAGATTTGTATTTTTGCACGTATTAAATAACTGAAAAACTACTGGGCCGATTTTTTACATTCTGTCACCGTTAGAATGCTAATTTTTCTGTAAGTAACTAGTTTTTTTTTATTTCACGTGGACGGTCGCGAGCAACAGCTAGTGTATTTATATTTTTAATCGCCAATTGTCAACATGGCGCCTTCGAGTATTGAATTTCTACTTTCTAATCTGTCGGGCATTTGAATGCACTCTCGTTTAGCGATCGACGCGAACCCAATACTTTTGTATACCCTAAGGCGGTACAACGGCTTTCTAATTGCATACTTATGCCCTTACTGTAACGGATCCTGTATTAAATAACTTTAGAATTAAGACGTCCATATAAATCACATACATATAAAGTGTAGAAACATTTTACAATCTATACTTCTATACTGTTATAATAAAGCGTAAACACACACTTCTTTGTTGCCTAAGATGTCAGCAATTACAGCATATTTATGAATTATTCTTTCTTTAATAAAAAGCCCTACACTTACGTCACGCTTTAAGCTATATATTTTCACGCCATTAAACTTAGCGGGTATATATTTTGGATAAAAACCCTAATGTGGGAAAGAGACCATAAGTTGCTGCCAACATCAAGAAAGCAAGATTGCTAAGGTTTGTCATGTCATGTCATTTTGACATTTGCTATTGATAATTTGACAAATGTAAACATTAAAATAAAACTTTCATAATTTCATGCGGAGGAAGCCGCACGAGAACAGCTAGTTTAGTAAATTAATTTAATTTCTGTAATATCACAAAAGATTTGAAAGAAAAGCACGAATGTACCATATATACATGTATCCATTTAGATATCTAACTATTGATTATTTCAATTGAATAGAAAAGTAGGATATTAATCAAACAGACAAGCGAGATGCATCAAAATTGTATGCAGGAATAAAATATTCAATATTTAAAGTCTATCTGATCGTGAAACGAAAGCTGAACTAATTGGCAAGTAGGTCTGGCATTGTCAACACGCCCCGTTATCTGTGGAACAATCACGGGCACTTTTGATTCTGCCTACGCTTTCACCGATTCATTTGATTGCAACAAATGGCAAAAATTATGAATATGAAAAGTGTAAGTAATCTAATAGAACACGCAAGTTTGCAGATGTCGCGATGTGCAGTCGTCATAGCAACTTTTACGCCGCTATCTTAATTTACTTTTGATATAAACCGTTTACGTGTTGTATTAACTATATATTGTTTTGAAGAGGCTTCGTTTCAAAAATAAACGATAACTTTCAAGTATTTCAAAAGGTATTGGTACGTAGGCGATACAAGAGAGGGGAATGTCAGGGGGTTTGGTGCATAACAAGAAATCGATTCGCAAACCAGACGCAACGCTGTACGCCGGCGGGGTATGGTGTGCGCGGGGAGGCTGCATGACGCGGCATTAAGTCCGTCACGGTCAAGGTTACTCCGATTCGATAACACAAACAAATGTATAATAACATTACCAAGTTTACATTCTGCATGCAATTAGGAATTTCCATGTTTAAAAAACTCTCCATATAAACATTTTTCACACTATATATTGACTCAGAATTCACACAGACCATAAAAACATCACAGATGCAATCAAATCTAAACAATCCAATATTCTGTACAGTTTTCTTAATAATTTTGCAAATTGACTTTATGAAAAGTGAAAGAATAGTTTTTTTTTTCACATTTTACTAGAGAATATTGATAAACAAACCATCATTATTTAATGTGCATTTTATGTCGTATTTATTGAAATATTAAAAAGGCGTACAGTACAAATGTAGTAAAAACCAGTAGATAACAAAACCGTATCCGTAACCCTCATTCAAAAACTGACTTCTTAAATATACTCTCAATCGAATGCCACGTCATATACCAACTTACTCCATTTTTATAGTACTTGTGTGAATGCAAGTCGAGTGCGCAGTTCGGTGTTAGGAGGTGACCTTGGCCGTAGACGCGGGGCGTCTCGCCCGAGCGGCCATGTTGGAATCATTTCGTCGAGTATAATGAAACTTTATCAAATTATAAACGCATTCCATAATTGAAAATTAAACGAATTCACCTATAAAACGCGTGATTAGACATGAAATATGTGAAAGGAATTTTCTTATATGAAACAGTTATAAAACTCTCCAAAAAACAAGGAATTTCTCTTGAGCTTTGACGCTTATTACCGCATTATTTTGTACAAAATATATTACATTAGTTACAACGCTGAAATAAAAGAGGCACAGGAACTAATAATTCATCAAACTGGATTTAAACTAAATAAGATGCCTAACAAAAAATCCAGCAAAGATGTGACGCATGAAAACATTTGGTATCAATTAACTCAGATATCAGCTTGAATCCTGCGAACCATCAGCTGTTCCGGCATTTACCGGTTTAAACATGTGTGGCAGAAAAATATGATCACATGTGTGGATATTATAAAAAAATCTTCGTTTTACAAACCGGGCATACTAACGCACCATATTAATTTACTCTAGTTTAGAAATAACTAGCTTTTTAGTAGTAGTAGTCCGCGAAGAATAAAAAACAAATTGCTGTGATCTTCCAGACTATCCTCTACATCTATACCAAATTTCATCGAGATCCGTTCAGCCGTTTAGGCTACAAACTCTAATAAACATCCATCCATCTAAACTTTCGCATTTATAGTATTAGTAAGAAGTAAGATAGTAAGACATTTGGCCTCAGTTAAGAAGTAGGATTTCTCGTTTTTCATCAACCTAACTCTATTTCGATTTTCTTATTAGAATTCTTGAAAATAAACTGTTCCTACAATCATAAAGTTTCCGGCAAACATCTAAGATTGTAAAAGGCCATATAAACATCATTTGTAGGTTATGAATGAAGATAAAGAGTGCAGTTGATAATATTAAAGCAGGGTCATTCGCGCTGATTGTATTTATGTACTGTAAATCATTTCTACATTTCTCGTTAAAATTGACGTATAATCCAACAACAATAAAACACCCAAACCTTTATTTACAAGGTAACGAATATCAGATTTAAAGTTCCGCCTTTACTTCCAGCATAGACACGGAAAAGGAAATTGTAGTAAAACCTAAATAAATAACGTTTATTTTGTTCGATTTATTGATTGATTATTGTAATCATTTGTGCTCTAAAGTAGCATTGAAATAGACGTAAAAACTCTTGGCAACAGATATTTATATAAACATCCTGGATTCAAGTTATGAAATAATACCCTTATTTTGAAACAAACGGGGTTCCGCGAACGGTCATCGTCCGGACAACATATGAACTCCGACATTAGAGACTGCTAGAATTTGCTCTGTTGAATATCTTCCAACAAGACATAATCCATTATTTAAAAAATGTAAAAACAAACGAATGAATTAATTGAACGTCTGCTAAGTATAAATACGTTTTCAATTAGGTAATCTCGCTTTGCGATGACAAATTAGCGCGATTAACAGATCATTGACCTCTTCCAAGTCAGCGATATCGACGGATGAAAATAGGACGGCGTTAAAATCAAACATATGGATATTTTGCATCATTTTTTTTCTGCACTTTATGGTGCTGTTTATTATTAGAAGCTGATACATTAGCTAGTAATAAAATAAATCCAATTGTCGATGTGGTAGGAATCGCAACGTCGACATTACGTAGTAAACTGCAATGATGAAGATTCCCATCTTTTATTGGATTAGAAGAACTATAGAGGATTGCCGGTTTCACTTCTTTTTAATAATATGCTCAAAACTGCAATTTTTATCCTATTATTCACATAATTTGCTCAAAACTGCAATTTTTATCCTATTTGGTTGGTTTTTTCAAAATAATATTTTTTGAATCTTTAGAAACTAAATATGTTTGTTTTATACAATCCAAACCGATGCTTATGAGCTTAATAAATCCATCATTTTCTGAATTTAAATAACAAAAGTTATATAGGCCAACACTAAACGGGTCATCGATTGATAACATTACAAAAAACTAGATAAACGAATGAAAACGAACCGATTTCCATCCAGACTGGCTTCAATCTTATTGAGTTCCAACTGGAATTACACGTAACTTGTCTGCTAACGGAGTAATTACACAATAGTCGTGAATTATGAAACGCACTCGCCTGCTCGGTTACTCGCAATTATAAACTCGATATCAAAAAGAAGTAACTTACCACTATCTACACTTTCTTCAGATATCTTCTTAACCATTCTGATGTTTGCTTGATGTTTAGATACAGCGACAATAATGTAACGAGTGGGTGTTGGTACTCTTGTTTAGCCGCTTTCAAACTTGTGCGGCCACCTTCTCGACGTGAAATCGGAAAGGCGTTGAGACAAGATATAGAAAATTAACGCCAAAATACTAAAATAATTTAAAAGCACCGCCGTCGAGAAGGATTCACGGATAGTGTGCCGGAAGGTATTAAACAAACACTGTAAGAAGACGGGATGAAAAAAAAACTGAGGTATCTTTAGCTATCCATCCTACACACGCCCGCCCGTTCGATGTTCTGAAATCCAACTGACGAAATGAACAGCCGCAGCCGGCTCGGAGCAGCGGTGCGGCGCATTTTGCCCCGCGCCCCTCGCACCGCGCTTCCCCTTCGAGCTCTGCGTCGTTGTGGTCTCCCGCCCGCGCATGCGTACTCTCTCGCACGCTGACGTGTTTACATTTTTTGTCGTTTATTTTTTTCTCTTCGTGTACGTCGCTAGGCTGGCAATGGATGTTGCCTCGTCATCTCTCCATCACTGCATCTGCATCAAAATTTACTTACCTATACACGCACATAATTCAAAACAAAAACCTTTTGATAAATATCCCACACACAAAATAACATATCTAACATCAGACACTGTAATACAACAGCAACGGACTGATCATTGCATCAGCGGTGCTAAAATTGCTTTCTATGTTTACTCGACAATTTTTCGATAAGAATCGAATTAAAAACATAAAAGATTCCGTCTACTATACAAAATTATACCTACTTCATTAATTTAGGTATTTAGTCTTGTTTCTTGCTTACGCCTAAGTAGGATAAAATGGATCTTACAGGGTAACTACAATTTTATTGTTTTTTTTTCTTGTTGTATTTTGTAACTAGATCCTTTGTCTCTAACCCTTCTATGAATGACCTTCACAGGGCGTTTGTTGACAAACATTGTTCGGGAGCTGCTGTACGCTGTACGACGCAGTACGCACGTGGTACGGGCCGAGCCGACCAGCCCACCGGCAACCGGCGCCGCCATCTTTGTTGTCACGCCACCCATCTGTCTCTTTCTCGCTAGTGTGCTTTGCTCTACGAACCAAAACATCTCTCTTATTCCTCGGATCTCTCGCTCTAATGCCTACGTGACCGACAATAACATAACCCCAACAAAACTGGTCGGTATGCTTCTAAATACAATTTGTCCACAATCAGAATGATTTTAAATTCAATAGCACTCGAAGCAAGTTCCACAAAGATCTGTTGTTAGCATACTTAATAGGGCAGTTTACTTTGTACATATAAGTCGGTTTATGCTATTTTATACTACACCCACACGATTAGATCAGCTGAAGTGAACTCAAACATCAGGTGATTTTGTTAGTTTATCTCCGAGTAACAACATAGTAGATAAAGTCATGTTTTATAAGAAATAAACGCAATCTAATTTAAAACTTAAAAATACATAGACTAATATTTATAAAGCTAAACGAAACATGACTGGGCGTTTTCATTTCGACCCTACTTTGCAATTTGAAATCGAAATTCTATTCATCGAGCAGTGAGAGGTTTTGCTATATCTATATTTGCAGTAAACTGACTAGTATTATTAGTTTTTATCGAGAACTTATCAAACCATAGCTATTTAGCCACAAAACAATGCATTGTCCATACTATAAACCAGAAGTTTACATTGGGATCTAACCATAACCATTGGTAAACTAAACAACACTTTGTGTCTTATTGTTTATTTTGTTTTTTGCCTTTGTTACCACTTTCTATATAGGCTCAATGTTACTTAAATTTGATTAATTATACACTTTTAACAGTTTTTTTTGAGAAGGGTAACGATATTTATGTTGTAAATGAGAAAACCTTCGGATCGGATGGACGAAGAGTATAAGTCTCTTATGGTCTGCAAATACCTATGCCTGCGTAAATGTTTAGCTGTAGAGGGAACAAAGGTGTTTTGCGTGTGATAAATCTGTCAGTAATTTTAATATCAGGTGATAGGTGTTATACCTACCTACTTAAGAGTTTTTGTTTTGTTACTTTTTATCAAGAATTACGTTCGTAATTTCGATAATCGTTCATATTTTGATCAGCAAATGTTTTGTTAGCAAACAGTTTTATCGGCCTCTCCCATCGGCTAACCTTAATTAGTGTAAGAGCATACAAAGCTTATGTTCTTATATTTCTTGGGTAGATACGGCTAAGACACTTTTTTATCTTTTTAAGTATTTTTTAAACATTCTATCGTAAGAAAACATATGTACTCTAATATGTCCCTCAACTGCTACTATAAACACAAAAAAAAATTAAACATAAAACAGTTATTAAACTGCTTGCTTTAAATTATAAAAGTTAACAAAACATTTCTCCCCTTTACCTTTGTTATAAAGTTACAAAGGGACTCACAAAAGGTATTCTGAATGTTGCCGCATATTACTACTTCGTCTTTGTAACACTTGAGTACACTAAATGTGCTGACCGCGCATTTATTAAGCGTTAAAAATCTTTAACCTATATTTGTCCTTATGACTTCCTCTGTTTGATCTTTCTTTTGGATTCCCGAAACAATTAGAAAATATTTTGTGTTGGTTGAACGCTACAAAGGCAATAAAAAAAAACAAAGCAATGTTAAAAGCCAATAACAGTAATCACGTTTTTAATTTAATATTTTAGTCATGTAATAGGCGATAGCGTACGGTAAAGAGGCTTACTGGTAATCATAGAATGAATTAACTTAATTATCAACTTATATTATTTCACTTCGCTTTTTTTAATATACATTAGCGACCCAAAACAAAATTGTTATTATAGCCTCCTTTAAAAATGACGGAGAACGCGGGTTCCATATTTAAAAAAAAATATCTACAACCGTGACATTTGAATTTCAACTGTAAACTTATGTATTACAGTTAGTATTTGATTGTATTGATGGAAAATAAAGACGTTTATGGCTGCTAGGGGTTTGCGTGGGGGTATTCCCTTGGATCAATTTTTCGTATTCCTTTGTGTTGGATTCGGTTTGTGTGCGAGGGGTCACGTATACAATCCGGAACACCTGACTCTTAAGGAATGTTCGTCTTAAGTAATCCATTGTGGTGATTTTTGGGTTGCAACAAGTTTTAGCAAAAAAATCAATAGATTTCGGATGCTATTCATACGAAACAAACTTGTTCCAACGTGATTTTGTAAATAGAATTTCTGTAACAACGAATGAACTAGAATTGGTCTCATCTATGCTTAATATTACCCACGACTTTGTCCGCGTGGAGTTTGAACGAATACATACAAAAATATAAATCTTTCCTCTTTATAATATTAGTATAGCTATAGATTACAGAGAGGGAATATTTGTGTTTTTGTATGTAATGAAATAACTCAAAAACTACTAGACCGATGTCCAAATTACTTCCTAATTAAAAAGCTACATTTTCTGAGAGTAACATTGGCTATTTTTTTATTTCCTCAACATCTTTTTATAAAGTATGGCGAACCAATGTGCCACCTTGGATTCTCGTCACATCAGCCTGAAATACTGAACTTGACACTTCACCAATTATTACAAGAGGTCGGGAAAATGAAAACTAAAGATGAACGAACTCAAGTATCGCAAACGCTCAGAGTTAATCTGTGAAATATTGAAGTCAAGGCCCAAAGGCGAACCATTTAAGAAGTCACGAGTTGTAATTGAATGACTACTCGACAAATATAGTAAATGGTCCTTTTCATTGCTTCTCTAACATCACTTTTAAGCTTTATTTGCTCAACAAAGACGTCAATGCATATGATAATTGTAGAGAATTATAATCATTCACACATCACGAGTATGTAATTAAAACTATTGCTGTACATTGCTTGTTTCTAACCGTTTAAGTATTTTGAATGTGAACGTTAACGTAGATGAATAGAATACAAGAATATTTAGTGTAAATAATATTGTATTTGTATTGCTTATTGTAACAAAGTCACGTTTTACTTCAACTAATATGCAGTATACTGTTGAACGAATGACATAATGAATGACTATGGGTTCATTATAGTTCTTGTTACATACTATTTTTTTTATTACTAGGATAAACCAACATTTCATTGACAAACATACAATTGGGACAATCAAATTATTTGCTTGCAAATCAGTAAATAATTTAATAATTAAAATAATTTAATTGTACAATCTACAGGCTCGCTTAGACTTTATTTTTCCATCCAAAAATCTTACTAATGTTAGTGAAATTAGTGAAGTGTGTTACTAAGCTGTCATCTGTATCTATCATTTTTGAATTTTTTTTGAAAAACTATTGAATTGAAGAATTGAAAAACTACTAAACCGATTTCAAAAATCCTTGCACCATTAAAAAACTATGTTATAAGCGCGACTTCGCTCGTAACATTAAAAACTATGTTACGAGCGAAGTCGCGAGCAACAGCTAGTATTGAATAAAAAAAATGTTACAGTCACTAAGTTCTTTATAACGTCTAATCATATTTTTTTTTATCTCAGACCGATTACTTGATAGTGACAATCTTAAATTAGAGATAACATTGTTTTCGGTTACTGTCTAATTTAATATTAGATAATGTAAAGTCTTTGTCTTTATTTACTTAGTGCAAAAATTATTTAACAATTTACATATAAAAATTATATAAACATCACTATACGCACTTCACGTAGAGTATTCTAAAGGTATTCTAAATCAAAGAAGATTTATTTATCAAATAAATAGAAACATATTTGTTATAGCATAGTCATATTTATACGCTTTTAAAAACTATCTATACTAATATTATAAAAAGGATAGATTTGTATTTTCGTATTTTTGTATGTAATAACATATCTCAAAAACAACAGGGCTTTCATAATACTTACACCATTAAAAAGCTACGTTATCAGTGAGTAACATAGGTTATACTTTTTATTATTTGTCGTAATTAGACGCTGACGAAGTCGCGAGCAACAGCTAGTCTTTAATAACAAAACACCTCGTAAATATGCTATTGAATAAATCTGTAAGCCTCGAAATGACATTCATTGTTTACAAAATGATATGCTAAGCGGGCTCTAGGCGGTTCGTTTCTAATATATTACGAGTCTATTTTTCACTGCTTTGCTTCATGTAGGCATTACACTGAAGTTCATAAAATCGTACATCATTTTTATTACTATGTTTACGTATTGTATTTGAATCTATTAAATCAGATTGAATTGGGCACAAACAATATAGGTACAAGCTTTTAAAGAAAACTAACCATATTTTTTTATAATAATAAGATGGCAAACTAGCAAGCGGCCGAAATAGGAAACGACCGCTGCCCATAAACATCCAAATTGCAGATGC